CCTGTTTTGAACCTGTTGAAACAAGCTTAGGTTTGTGGCTATTCATTAATGTAGTTCCATATCCACAATCTTTTTTAGGGGCGAAGCTCCTTAGGGCGTGGGCTGTGCGTCCCCTGTAGCCTGTATGTAGCCACCTCTAGTTTAGTTCTTGCAGTGTTCACTAGATGGCGGTACCGTCCCCTGTATGTAGCCACCTCTCATTTAGTTCTTGCAGTGTTCACTAGATGGCGGTTCTTGTAGCTGATGATGAAAAGATGCAAGATGTTATAAACTAGACGACGGTACTTGTAGTTGATGATGAAAAGATGCGAGATGTTATAAAATAGGAATGATGTCGCATATGGCGCGTGTCATTGGTGGAAGGCAATCGTTCAATTAGTGTGGCGACGTCCGCTAGGGAGAGCGTTCTAATAAAATCGAGTGGGCAAAATGTACGAGGATTCTGGTTTATCCAGGTTTACCTCCGGAGCTTCGCCCACTCATCATCATTCACTTCGTGGATATGGCGGCATTTTTTTCTTTTCGTGTTTACAGCTGAGCACTCCACCAGTATCACTGGTGCACAAATTCATCATATAGCAATGAACAACCGGAAAATATTTACATACATTGAAAATTTCATCAGGCCTGCCTTTATCAATAGTTTTCTTTTTATGCTAATGTTTTTCCAGCTTTCCAACACGGTCAATGCGTGCAAGGATGGTTGTATTAGAAAAGAGAAATTTTCAGCTTTAGAACCTTGTTAAGATGGCGGCACTTAGCAGTAGTAAACACGAGAAACGCCTTTATGAAATTTGGTTCTTGCGAGATTATAGGCTGCTTTCTTAATGTCCACACTGATTCAATTGCTTTTTTGAGCACAATGCAGCTGCAGTTAAAATGCATGCCACAAAGGTATTTAATGCATACTGAAGGGGGGCAGTTCCTTGCCCCCCCCCCCCCCCTTATATTTCCAACCCCACCCCCCATATACACCATGCTCTCCATGCAACAATTGATACTGTTTGCCTTTATTAGAAAAGAAAGCCTTTGCAGCATGATTCTTCATTACGCTCATAGTAGCCATCGTAGACATTCCAATCTACAACTTGATTCTTTGGCTGAAAATTTTACTTTGAGTAATCAATGCACCTCTATATTTAGAAAAAAATAGGCCGCTAAATTATATGAGCAAATACTGTATCAAGAAGTGAAGAAAAGCAGAATTATATAACACCATTTTTCATGTTCCTGGTCACAAGTGTTAGCATCAGGAAATCGTGCGAAACTGGAACATATCAACAAGGTTCTGCTACACACCAATTTCTTCTGCAACTGTCTCAAAACAGTAAGACGTGCATGTTATACATTGAAAAATATGTTACATTTATCCTAGGTGTTCTTTACACATTCAAATTCATTTGACTCATGTAACATCAGATAAATGATTTGCTCAGAGTGACATTACGCACAAGATAACTTAAGCAACACACCCATAAGTTAAACTAATTGCATTTTATGCACTTTAGGGCACATGTTCCCATTGTAATGTTGAAGGTAAATATAAAAAAAAAATAAAGGGTGTTCAAAGAGTAATATTTCCAAACTGAATTCAAACCTATATGAGAAAGACAAACGCTGAGTATGTAAGTAGATATGAAATGGCACACACGTAAACTATAGCAGATTGCATAGACTGGAATAATATAGTTGAACACGGTTATATCAAACCCACATATTGATTGATATGTGGGGTTTAACGTCCCAAAACCACTATATGATTATGAGAGACGCCGTAGTGGAGGGCTCCGGAAATTTAGACCACCTGGGGTTCTTTAACGTGCACCCAAATCTGAGCTCAAACCCACATATATCAAATTCTCAGGTATATGGAACTCGTAAGTTATCCCCTTGAAATTCCTTTGTAAAAATATACACACACGTTTATATTGAACGGTATTCTTACCCACCTTCGGATATATCGAATGCCGCAGAGCTGAAAGGTGCACTTCGGCACTCCCCCCTCCCCTCCCAATGATCTCCGCGGCAGCGCGGCTCCGCGCGCGAGTTGGAAGGCACGTTTTAGCACTTGCAGCACCCGGTGACGCCCGTGCAGTACCACGCCTCCGCTAAAAGCTGAAATGCTCGAAAAAAGGTAAGGGCAGGAGGGCTCGCCCTGCACAATCTCTACTCTTGCGGAACACTTTTTTTAAAATTTTTTGTTCTCTTTCTCTAATGCTTTCTCCGCGTACCCACCAACAAAAATGAAGCAGCCGACCTCCTCCTCCTTTCGCCTTTTATTTTTGTTGCTGTTTTTAGAGTTTTCATCAGCCAACCACAGCACAACCACAGCTCGCGCCTTTTGCTGGTGGCCATCGCCTCGCGACTCGCCAGCGCTTTGTTGCTTTCGCTGTTGCATCGCCTCCGTACCACCGCATTTGCAGCATTTCTCTTTTGCATACGTGGTGTTGCAACGCCGCTGTGGGTTCCTTGAACTGTCGACTTCTCGTGTAGCTATGGCCAGCGTCAAGAAGCGCAAGACCCTTGACTTTACGATGAAGTTGAAGGCTATTCAGCGTGTAGAGGCGGGCGAGATATGTTCGACCATCGCAGACGACTTTGGGATACCACGAAGCACTTCGAGTACCTTGTTCAAAAACAAGGCAAATATGAAGGCAAAGGCGGCAGAGCAGCGAACGTCGAGAGCCTGTCATGTGCACACTTCTGCGCACGGGAATGTAAAAAAGGCACTCTATCCCTGGTTTTAGAAGTGCGCGCGAGGAACATTCCGGTGGAGGGCCCTATGCTGATCACCAAGGCCAAATGGTTTGCCACTGCACTCGGTGAAAAAACTTTGCCGACAACAACAGGTGGCTTCACAGATATAAGCAGCGCTACAACATCATCGGCAAAACCAATTTTGGCGAAAGCGAAGCTGTCAGCAGCCAGGACGTCTAGCAGTGAATGACGAAGAAGTGGCCGGAAATCCCTGTGAAGTTTTCTCCCGTGGAGATTTTCAATGCCTGGCGAGACGCGAAGACGGACACAGTGGTCAACTGCTTCCGCAAGGCAGACTTCAAGTGTCGGAACTTGCGGCAACCGGTGAAGATGACGATGACCATCGCATAGACGAGCGTTTGGTGAGTTGTCGTCCCACTTCCTGACAGCAGTTCTACACTAAGTGTCTGCGGAGGACTTCGTGAAAGTCGACTGCAATGTCCAGGCCGACAGATCATGTGACGAGGAGAATCGTGCGGACAAGGAGGCGCTGGCTGCACGCGCGTACTCTGCCGCTGAAGTGGCGGCATCGTCGTGCTCCTTACCGGGCTGCAGAAACTAGGCGCCTTCTTCCTCTTATAACCACTACCACCACCACCATCGTTCCCTGTTGTATCAGCCACATGGAGGGAGCCGGGCTGTCGCACCTGAACAGCCTTGATAAGATCGAGACTAGCGTCTTCAACATTTCAAAAACGAAGAAGCAGGCCAAGATTAGAGATTTTTTCACGCAAATAAATCATTTTATTGCGGCGTGTGTGCAGAATGAGTTGGCATTCTTGAATGCGCCTGTTGTAGGTGACGATCCACTTCAGGTAAGCTCTCGTGGCCTCTTTTTTTTTATCGAATTTTTTCATATATCGAACTCATTCGCGATCCCCTTCGAGTTCGATATATCTGTGTTTGATTGTATTTTCATATTTTGGCCTTAAAGTTTGAAGGTAGTCTGAATTAAAAGTTACTCCAGATAAAATGACTGGCAATTTTCTTGCTTTAAAGTGTGAGCACCACTATGCTGTGTTCCAGCATACCCTAGCTTGCCTTAAATATTTTTTTTATTTTGGCACGATCCTGTAATCTTTTTCACAAAGGTTTGTCTTATGAACTATGATAGTGTGTGTAGCAAACAATGCCTGCTTTCAGAAGCGGTGCAAAATAATTAGAATGCATATACACTGAACTCTACGTATATGGTAAGATAAGCAGGAAGCTGAGAAGAGTATGAGTGATTACATTATCAGTGATGGAAGCGACGTTTTGACTTTTGGAGCAGATTCCGGAGCGGAGAAAATAGTGCTTTGGAGCAGCCAGAAGTGTTTTTGGAGCCAAAAACAACGCTAGTTAGTAGGGACTATCCCCTTTTCTGAAGCAGACTGCAAAATATTCCAAACAACTGCTGGAGTTCAAAGCATCATCTAAGCTTCTTATAAATATGAATACTTATTAAACATATTGCACGTGCAATAATCACTTGAAATAGCACAAAACAAATAAACATGTGGGTGGTCACTGAACACTAAGATGAGGAACCTATATTTGAAATGCCAATACTTGTAGTAGATATCATATAAAAGGGATACATAAAGCTGAGCACCAAATTACAAAAGCAGCCATCGCCACATGTAACTAGTGCCGAAGCAGCAGTCTGTAATCGATACGAGTACTGTATGTTATTTTCATCATTCACCAAAACAGTTGGCACTGGAAATTGCAAAAGTAAAATAAGCTAAATGAGGTATACACTTGAAATGCCAGCTCTTGTGACATAAATGAGCTCGAAGATGATAAAATGGTAAATGTAATCAGTCACACATCAAAGTCATCACACTAGCAGTTAGTAAACATCATGACACTGAACTAATCTCGCCTATATAGTACATGCAGCATTGTCAATATGCTATTATACAGCCAGTTTTTGCTTTTGTTTAAGCTCGCTAATTAGTCAGGCAATTCAAGTTCACTGTTTTCAGTTTCCCAGCTATATTTTGGAGCAGGTTTGGAGCAGTTGTTGACAAATATTGTACTTTGAAGCAGCATGGAACAGCATTTCTCTTTTGGAGAAGTTTAAAGCAATTGGAGCAGCACTTCCATCACTGCATTATACCTTATTTGAGCTGTATAATGCAGGAGACTGACTCAGTATTCTGCACATGACATTTCAGAATTAACTGACAAGTAAGCTGACACCTGTGTACCTGGTGAAGCCCTCAACATCCAATTGTACACATAATTTTGGTACTCACGCAAGACCATCGTGCATAAACTTGAAGGCATCGTTTATTTTTTCCAGTGGCAGTGAGTAGCTCACAAATTCATCCAGCTTAATCACTTTCTTCATGTACCTGTCCACAAGCTCAGGAACGTGATCAACACTCTTCCATCCTGGAGCAATGACATTTAAAGAGCAAGTTACTGTTAGTACAAAAACATCATGCAAAAATAGATACTGGCTACCACTACAAGTGAGGCACTTCATTAAGTATTCTTCTTATCCTCAATATTCTTTCTTTCACACTGTCTACTATGCTGTTCACGTTTCCCTTCATTGCTCATCTCCTCTGCTGGTTATTGTTCATATAACGTTCAGGTGCCAGCTGTTGGCTAGATGGCACAGTTGTGTACTTTAATTCTTAATTATTCTTATAACCCCAAATACAGCCTGCAGTAAGCGACATAGCTCGCATGTCATACAAATGGGAGACTCTACATTAACAACCAGTCTTACATGTTTGCCCCCTCAGAAATGCCTTTGGTGACATTCTGAAGAAAACTCGAGCTCAGCAGCTCAATGCCACAGCCTAATTATTACATCAGGAGCATTCAATCACACAGAGCAGCAATGATGTACCACACATCACCATTCTTCCCGACTCAATCTTGCATACTTTCAGTCACATCCACAGCATATAGCGAACATACAAAGATGAGTTCTTGCCACTTAGACTTTACAGATAACATCCCCACAACGATGAAAACTCACCTAGAGTGTGCCTATAATTGCTGTCACAATGAACGCTACTAACACGGTTCATAGGACATCTCCAAAACATTTCAGACTCACACCCCCAATTAACTATTATTGAGAAGTGCCTCAAAGTGGACATAATACAGCTTCAGTGGCAGCACTGATCTTTACTGATGTACAGCTTGTAGCCACCAAGCATCACTCGTGCTTTGTAGTTTACATTTGTACTCGTTTTACATATAAATACAATTATCATTACCAAAGTTAATAAATTTCATGATAGAAAACAAATAGGTAAGACACAAATAGATGCCTACCTCCAAAAGCACAGCCACGCCACACGCGGCCAGTGACCAGCTGGAAGGGTCTTGTGGAGATCTCCTTTCCAGCTGCTGCCACACCCAAGATAACCGACTCGCCCCAGCCCTTGTGGCATGATTCAAGGGCAATCCTCTAAAGAGAAAAAATAGCATTTAGCCACTTGTTACAATGTGGCTACGAGTTTCACTGCGACCAGCACTGCAAAACACATCAGCTATCATAGAACAGAAAGAGTGAGCAAAGAAACCTACAAGATGCATATACCAAACAAGCCCAAAAGTATTACTTTCCTGAAATGCATCAAACTACTTAAAAATTTGCAATCAAGAAGCCTTTTCATTTTTCTGAAGTGTTTGAGAATCACGCGCAGCACTTGCACAGAGTCAACTGGCCCAACGGTGTTGAACCCCATCAGCATCCCCATATACTATTCTTTCTATGTCAACATATTGTAGGTATGTCTTTCTTACATCTGATTACTTGTTACACACTTCACTTTGTATACTGTAGTAAGCAAACTCAATCTTGGCAAGCAAGTCTATTTTACTACACTTGGAAATTCTAGTAAAAAGTCATGAATTTACCTGTCAATGATACCTTGTAGTTTAAATTACTCAAAGCTGAACATACAGAAAATGCTTTTTATAGTAACATGCATATAGAAATAAAGACATTCTTAAACTAGGATTGGGTCCACTTAAGAAGCTTCACGCACAAAGTTCAAAGAAAAATAAGTTAATAATCTTCATATTAGAGGGGAAAATTTTGAAGTTAACATGGGTTCATGGGAGAAAAAAGGATGCCTCTGCAATTGCAAAGTTTAAATTCAGAGCTACTTGCATTGCAGAATGAAAGAAGGGGATCAAGGGCTCATTCTTTCCGTAGAAACAATCTATAGAAGCCCAAGATGGCACAGGAGACATTGTATGTAGTTTTGAAATGTAGTGTAGTGATTATGACATAAATGGAAAGGAATTAAAGCAGATGAAAAACACCTTGCTGTCACTAGGGGCTTTGGCGGATGTGTCCGATACCACACCCGTAGACACTTTTTTTGAATCGCAAGTGCGCTTCTCTGCACTGCATGGCGACACCTGTTGTGATTCAAGCAGAGAGGCGGTCCAAGTTGAACGTGCTGGGGCTGGTCTACTATGAGAGTTTATATCAAGAAAGGTGACTCGACATTTTACATGTCACAGCATAAGCAAAATACGCTTGAAATGGCTATTTGCACTAAATGACGAGCCGCCGCTACTTGTTCAAATGGCACAGCTGAAAAGCTAACTTTACAATTTTTTAAATGGGTCTATTGAGTTACAATGGCAGTCCTTTTTTGGGTATACATGTGCATGTAATCGTGGAAGCCAACACCACCCATAGCTATGGTGACAAGTGAGGAATATTTTTTTTGACGACTTATTGTAGCATACTCAGAATCTAGAACGCTTATGAAGAAATCAGTTGCCATTTTTAGACTTATACTTTACTGAATCAATTTGGCTAGTGTTTTTAACAACTGCTTTAAATTTGTCACCATATCCCAATAATTCCACCCAACGAAACCATTGTGACAGCAGACAATTAGTAAATAAAAACAGAGCAGTGTTCGTATTTAAACCCATTAAGACATGAACGGTTCACCTAAAAGTACCGACAACTGCCCAGGACATGAAATGAGATAACTGCACGGACGGAAAAATTGTCCCTCAAAATTGTCCCTCAGATTTCAGGTCACTAAGATTTTGGAATGATGTGGATTTTTAACCTACACTTTGTCTCAGAAATGACGTGCAGTGACGTTTTCGGTGATTTGACTTTGCTCGTGCGTCGAGAGAGTAACGATGACGGGACAAGGAATCCACGAAACAGGTGCATCAACCTTTGACCCAGGCGCACGCAACGCGATACAAATACAGGGAAGCTGTATAAAGCCACATCGTCTCAATGTAAGGGCTTGCTATTTTCAAAAAATAGTTGTAAAGCTCAGAATAAACGTGGTTGCATATGGAAACTCCAGCAAAATTTAGGGAAATTCCTGCGAAAGCCAAACAATGACAGCATGCACAAGTCGCTAGATTGGCTACTGGTACCACTATCAATTCTCAGCGTTTCTGCACAGAAAGGCACGCCGGTGTTCAGAGCCTTTCAAATCGAAAAAATACTGCTTATGAATAACTACGTGTCTATGCGAGTAACTAGTGCAGCTGCGGTCGCTGCTAAAGGTAAGCTTTCAGTCATGCCGGAAAAAAATCAGTTGTCGGTCCCTTTAAAGTGACATTCTTATTTCCACCTGCCACTTATTACAGAAATAGGATGCCCGACCGAAACAATTGATTACATATTAGAATTGATCCATTATGGAAAGCAAATTTTTGTTCCTCACATGCCATGTTGCTGGTACTCTGCCATAGCTTCAGCATGTGTACCATGTATCGACGAGAAGCACCAGTATGACATCAGGAGATGGGTAGACTGATACTGCTGCACACTGGCCTCTTATGGGACAAGTATGAGGATCTGCAACTCATGGGTCTTTGGCAAATAGAACTTCATGAGGCAAACTAAAACGATTGCACATTATCGCACATCTATGCACTTCAAAGCAGCCGCTACTTTCCTCCAAAAGTGGTTGAATCCCCATCATTGAATAGGCATAGTAGCAATCAGTGGTCTGGAGCTGCTCAGGTGCAATGTGAGGTATATTCACAATTTTGGGATAGCAAGTCTCAAATGCGACACTTTGGTGAGTTATACCAGACTTGCAAGTTGCTTTACCAAACCAATGACTGCTCCCCACAGGACGTGATGCATTTGAATGAAAAATAGCTATTAAATATCCCCTGTGAAGACTTTGTAACAGTCACATCAGCTGGATAACAACAACAGGCAGATGCTATTCGCAACACAACCTTCAGAGTGATGTTAGCCGATGAGAAAAACTTCACACATTTAAGCATCCTAAATTATAAACTACATGCTTCAACTGTAAAGTTGAAGGCAGTCATAAACTTTAACAAACTGCTTGATTGGGCTGGTTGGTACTGCATGGTAGACAAAGAAAATGCTTAACAGCGCAAACGACATGAGGAGATATAAGAGCTCTGTTCTCGTCTCTTCTATCCCCTCCTGTCGTTTGCGCTGTTAAGCACTTTGTCTACCAAGGCAGTCATGAATGTTAATTTATCCAAAAATCCTTTGCATAACCCTAGTTACAAGACATACATAATTTATGTGATGAAATGTTTTAGAAATCCAGCCAAGACTTAACAGCACTGTCAAAAATGCTGCATTGAAATACTAGTCTTGTCTAAACAACTAAGTGCAGAAGATTCACTGATAGATGGGCAAAATGAGTTAAGATGAAATGCACAAAATAATAAATTAACATGAACATACTTGCAGCTTTACTAACAAATTCACGCCCACAACTGTGATCTCTAGAACTCCAGGAAATGTGCACTTCTTTGAATAGTAACAGAAAAATTTGATGCAGCAGAAACATATACATATAAACACTCATATTATAATGTCAAGAAAATTCCTCACCATGGTGTCAACATTGCCAATGCACTCAAAGGTGAAGTCTAGACCACCATCAGTCTTCTCAATCAGGTGCTGGGTAATGGGCAGAGCCAACTTGCTTGGATTAATGCACTCCGTGCAGCCAAACTCCAAGGCTGAAAAAAAGAGAAAGCATGTTCTAGACTTGTTGATAAATACATAAAAGGAAATACAACTCATTATCTTATATCAGAGAGCAAAACACAAGACTGAGGTTCAACCAATGTACTAATAAGAAATTACCATTTCAACATGCACTTTCTTGCTGGCATAAGGTTGCAGGGTTTAAGCTTGAAGAAAGGATGAATGGATGGATTGATGAAACGCTTTATTGTGGTCCTGAAGGATTCTACCCACATTTTATAGGGGTAGGATCGCGGGCCGCTCCCACGAAGAGACAGGGAGGCCTAGCATCACCACCGCATCGTGGGCCTTTTGGAGACCCTTGAGTTGTATGAGAACCAGACTCATAAGCATTAAATGAAAGGAATTTTCGGAAAATTCTTCATTTTTCAATGACTAAAAAAATATCAAGCTTGGAATGATTTGGTTAAGACAACAAATAACATGCAAATGCTGCTTATATAATGCATTAGTATACACAACCTGCTTTTAATTACTTTCAAAAAAATCCATGAGGCAGAAGCAAGTGAAATGAGTACCTTAAGATTCCAAGCAAGCACCCCACCACAACAAGTGCCCCCTCCAATTTTGCAACAAATTTCATATTCACACGCCGTTCCAGTGGGAAAGCACATCACACTCCTATTTCATCATCATCAGCAGCAGCAGCCTGACTACGTCCACTGCAGGACAAAGGCCTTTCCCATGTTCCGCTAGTTAACCCGGTCCTGTGCTTGCTGCTGCCAATTTATACCCGCAAACTTCTTATTCTCATCTGCCCACCTAACCTTCTGTCTCCCCCTAACTCACTTGCCTTCTCTGGGAATCGAGTTAGTTACCCTTAATGACCAGCGGTTACCCTGTCTACGCGCTACATGCCCGGCCCATGTCCATTTCCTCTTCTTGATTTCAACTATGATATCCTTAACCCACGTTTGTTCCCTAATCCACTCTGCTCTTTTCTTGTCTCTTAAGGTTACACCTACCATTTTCCTTTCCATTTCTCGGTGCGTCGTCCTCAATTTAACCCGAACCCTCTTTGAAAGCCTCCAGGTTTCTGCTCCGTAGGTAAGTACCGGTAAGATGCAGCTGTTTTATACCTTCCTCTTGAGGGTTAGAGACCAAATTTTCATCAAAATTTTTAGGTAGTTGCACCGGGACGTCCGAGCAGGCTAGAGTTTTCCTTTAATTCTCCTACCTCTTTCCCCTTTATGCCGGATCAACAATAAAGTTGTTTCACTCACTCACTCACTCAAAGTTTGATTTTTTTTCTTCCCCGCATAAAGATTACATTCCAAATTTACTCAAGACCCATGATTTTCAGATTCCCGCGAGCATAAGTATAGCCTCTGAGCTGTGTATAGTGGAACACCCTGTTCATATGTTTTTCAGCGAACCAGGGAGCAAAACGTAACCGCTGAGAAAATGCAAGAGTGAGGCAAGCTCAGAAAATGAATGAGAACAGAGGAGCTTTGACTACAAACAATTTATTTCAGCAAGGTGAGTCGAAGACTTAAAATATTTGAGGATAGTTGACTGCCAATTCTTTTGCTCGACGGTAAGCGTTACGCGTTCTTAAATAACCTAGAAGGCCCCATCGGCTTCAGTGTCGCTTTGGTGTGCGACGTAGCTGCAAAATTAGCCAAGGTCGCAACGACTTCTCCAAAGCTAAAATCTGCTGACTTCACAGCCGACCGACTCTTCAGAATCATGTGGCTCACGCTCGTCATCCTCATCATCATCGCAGTCACCCGCTTCACTTTCAATCGAGTTCGCAACGATCTTTGCGATGCTCTCGTGCTCCGATGTCATGATGGCAGGATCCATGGGGACGTACTCGTACATCGTACCTGTGGCATCCAGCACATTCATAGTCTCGTTAAAAAGCTGCTCACAAGAGGCTGCGTTCAACAGTTCAGCTTTAATGGCAGTCTTTCCCCTTCGGCGTCTGTACACCGAAGGGGGGAGACTTGTGAAGCAGTACTGTGCAGTCGCGCTCACTGCACTCCATGCTGAAAAGACTTAGTGCAGGGTGTCGAGAACCAAAATAGTTATAGGCTGCTGTCTGCGATCAATACACGTGAGACAGCGCTTGATGATGCTCTTTCTGTTGGAATGCTTCAGGCTTTTTATGACATTGGTATCCAATGACTGCTAGTGGCAGGTCATATTTGGAGGAAAAACAAAAGCTTGATGTTCCGTAGAAATGGCAGATCTCTCGAATGGGCTGCACAATTGTCCAGGAAAAGGAGAACACTCCTGTCCTGAGAATCCATCTTGTAATTTAAGTATCCAAGAAATTCTTCAAACAAAGCACAGGTCATTCATGCACGATGGTTACTTTCGTAGTGGCATGGCAGCAGGTAAACGTTCTTCAAGCACAGTAGGTTTTGATTCTGCCACTCACCCATGGCTTTAGTTTGTGTGAGCCATCCATGTTGCAGCAAAGAAGCACAGTCAACTGGTTTTTTCTGCATTTGCCCCTGTGGCACGCTTCACCTATCAGGCTGAACGATTTCGATGACTGCACAGTAAAGAAGAGGCCTGTTTCTTAGCACTGCAAATGTCACGAGGCTTGTACCTCTCAATTGGAGCAGATAGTGTTGACTTCCAATCATCGACTGTTGCTCTGTTCACACATGCCACTTTTTCACTTACCATCTTGAAAGCGATGCCGTGCCTCTTGCAGAAGAAGTCGATATAGCCATTTGACGCCACAAAGTCAGCGATACCCAGTCTGTCAGCTATTTCCATCGCCTTCTCACGTAGAACGTTACCATCGAAGTTGACACCGGCTCAGCGAGCTTCCTTTACGAGGTGAGAAGAGCCTCGTCAAGCTTCCGTGCTTGGCACCATGAGCTTGCTTGGCTTTCAGCCCAAAGAAAGCGGCATTCACTTCTGTCTTGGCACGCTTCAAGACGATGCTGTTCAGCGTCGATGGTGGTAGCCCAAGGTCTTTGGCAATGTTGACCCTTTTTCGCACAGGCCGCTTGTCGATTGCTTTAAGCACGTCCAGCTTTTCTTCAAAGGAAAGCCCTTTTCGCTTGTGCCATGCCATTAGATGCCACAAAGATTGCATTGACAAATTCAGTGGTATTCGAGAGGCTTAGTGCACTGATTAGCGATTGAAGACAAGTCACGAAACCATATAAAGACTGACTGTCATGCACTTCCGGCACTCTATAGTGAAACTTTCATCGTAAGCACAGTGAGGACGGTGATAAACCTTTCACATTTGGCTATCTAGGGGCGACCTTTCCAACTCGCCTGCAGTTTCTTGCAGCCAGTCCCAGCCAGAGCCAAGCCAGGCCAAGACTGTCAAAAGTCAAATCAAAATGATGCTGCCTGAGCGGGTTTGGCATGCTACGGTGCGATGCAACATGCAGGAACGGGCCCACAATTGCAATGCAACAACAGGGTGTGCAATACACAGGACTCTATCGGAGCTATGCTGGAAACGATGAAAAACAATGTAACAGCTGAGAAAACGAAGCAGTGAGGAACATTACAGCAGGGTTCCACTGCATCTGCAATATGAAGACTGTACTAATGACACACGTAGTTTAAAAAACTAAGGCCTCCAAATAGAATCCATGTCTGTTGCCTAGAACTATTGCATTGACATAGGCTCATCATCGGATGTGCTTCCATGCTCCGCTTCGTGCAATATGATTGCCATGCCTTTGTGTTTGTTGTGTTTGCAGGCCATTGTACTGACGTGCAGAGTTCCTTTCGTCTGCGAGTCATCTCAGTAATGCACTGTGCCACATATAAGAGCTGGAAGACAGTTAAGGCTGGGATGATAGAGGTAATCCCAATAGTTCACGTGACCACAACGACACGTTGAAAGACTGGACAGGCCTGATTACTCAGTTTCAGGCAAACTTCAGTATATTTACACACTGACACTTATTTACAATCAAAGGCTGGGACAGCCACTAAACCGACCGCACAGCAAGCACTGGGCTGTATTAACAACGGCGTTACTTGCCGAGCCCTTAGTAAACTGCACACATCGACACCAACTTCTCGATCTAGTATCAAACCCGGGAGAGTCGGCGAGAAGCATGACCTCTGTTTATGCTTCATGATCACGTCCTCGAGCACTAAGCTCCCCTCCTCTCGCTTTTTCTCTATTATATACCTCCCATCTCATCTGAGACTGCCTTGTGGGACGAACGCCTTCTTGATGCTCCACCAATGCAGCAAACAATTCTCCTTTCCTCAGAGACGTGTCTCCGTCTCTACGTTCCCACACTTTACTATCGTCATCCTCCAAGAAGTCGGCTAAAGAAAAACTCCGTCATTTAGTCAACGTACAGCTTAAAATACTTCCGTGCAACAACAAGCCTGGCTCGGCTGTCTGGAGTTAGTAAACATGATACTGCTGTCTGTCCACACGTACTGTGACAGCATGCAACCACATTCTCCTATCGGGAGCGGTGTCGCGAGAGGGACCACTTGTTTCTCAGACTGGCTCATCATGAGAACGCTTCGCTGTGTGGGTGACTCACCAGCGCCTGGTGCGGTGAACAAAACCACACGGGGTTTGGCAACAAAAGCGCGTGCAGAGGCGAACGGCTTAGTACCTTGTGTGCGCAGCCACTTTTCATTATCTTCCATTTTCGTCAGGCGCCGTCTACCGACTGGCCATCCTTTACTTGCCCCAAACATAACTAAGACTTTTGAGGAAGTCTGTGTGCCCTCAATTTTTGCTCCCTCCTCCCCCGTAAAAGTAAAACTGTGCCACCACCATCATAAATTTTGGCGCCATTATTGGAAAGCATTCAACATGCCTCAACCCTCCTTGCCTGTAATTTAGGCTTGCTGGAAGGGGGGGTGGGGGCGCTTGTTCTGAATTGTATTGCATTTATTCATCACAACAGGCAGATTTGCTTTTTCACTTGTACAAAATGTTTGTAGCTTTCCACAAAATTGTTTGGAACACTGGCCAACTATGAAAGTAGGTGTCATCACAACCACGAAGCATCATTGAATACAACATGAGTTTTAAGCACCAGTTTTAATAATCTAGGCTATGCAACAAACCTTGCACCCATACTACGAAAATGACATGCACCGATCTTGTTCCTACCTTTCGGAAACTTTGCTTCATTGATGTCAATCCCAATGATGGTTTTCGCGCCACGTTCTTTGGCACCCATGGCAACTGAGAGGCCGACAGCACCCAGTCCCCAGATGGCTACAGTGCTATCTTTTGTGATAGAAGCAACATTGAGGGCAGCACCATATCCTGTGGACACAGCACAGCCCAACAGACACACCTTGTCTAGAGGTGCAGCAGGATCAATCTTCATCACACAAAATGCAACATGAAAAGGGAGAGAGAATGAAAATTACTTTCACTCATAGACTCTAGCACCATGTATAGCCAGACTGGGCGTCATCACGACACATAAAAAGGCATGTCATAAGACATCGTGAACAAGTATACTGGGTCTAAGATCTGTTGGTGACAAATAATGAAGCCAAAGAAAGCCCAGGGGAAGTTATTTGTAACTTTAGTTGAAATGTAGTAATTATAAGCAATATGGCAAAGAAGATGGATGAAACAGCAGTTTACCACTGGTGAGAGCACAACCCACAACCTCTGCATTACATATTCACTGCACTAACAGCCACGCAATGGTGATGGCTGCTTCCCTGCTCAGTTGCTTTGGTATTAGATCGTTAAGCGTACAAGATTTACACCTGGCAGTGTTAGCCAGCACCACTCGACAACACAGCGGCAGATGTGTCGTGCATGACACAAGGTGTGTTGCACATTTACAGGCATAATCTGAACTTTGTTTTGATTTGGATGACCAGCAATCTAAAATCACTCAATTGTCTAAACGATGCTGTTTCATCAAACTTTTTTTCATGATTTAAGCTAGAAACCATGCACTTGTGTGTGGCTAATAAATGGTGCAGTCACAATTTTCCCACTACAACATGTTTCAGGAAAACTGTTGACACCACTCCACTGTGTTTTCTAAGTGAAGCCAAGAAACACAGGTTTGGTGCCATGAATTCATTTTAAACATTGAAGGGTTAAAGCATGGCAAGTGCATTTTGATAATACAGCCAAACCTCGCTATAACAAAGATGAAGGGAGTGTCGCCATCATAACCATTAGTTCATTATAGCCAATATCCATTTATACCAACAATCAGCCAGCAAGAGAGATTGTACTCGCCAACGAATATCACAGCTACCCTCCGCACAGAATAAAACAGCCGTCGTAAGGCAAAAAGCTAGCAAAATAATAAAGAACAATGCACTTTATTTCCGCCAAATTCAGCACACCAGCTGACAGATCACGTCGAAGAAAAATAGTCCTCAATAGACTTATGCCGACTCTTCCTCACGTGGATGACTGCTTTTTCAACTGCAGCAGGTATTTCAAGTCCATCCTCAACATCATCGTAAGCACCAAAGAAGCGGCAAAGCAGGTCTGTTGCATGCAGCGCTTGCGCGGGTGTCGACACATTCATCACTGTCGTCATGCACACCCGTCACTGCGGGCACAATTTCTGCATCTGACAGCTCTTCAGCTGTTACCGCGTCAGCATCGGCACACCAACGTACATGCAGAAAGTGTTGCAGTCAGGCACAATGCCAGTGTCAAAGAGAGCATCCCAAAACATCTGGGCCTGGTCACCCGCGGCACCCACACATTGCCGAAATCTTCTGTGACTTTAAGACGATAGTCTCTCTTGGGGACCTTCGATGCAAAAATTTTAGTCTGTCTGTCTGTACATTTGTATGTTTGTCCACCCTTAACAGTACCCCAAACGACACCAAACATACCCGTAACGTCGGACCCCATCCGCAGCACCCACCAATATTGCTCAAGATTCAGCGTTCATACTTGTGCGATTGTCAATTGAAAAGCGATTATTGCGCATACCTGAGGCACCATAACAACACATCAATATTGTGTATGTGTGCCTTTATACCAGAAAAGGCATACATAAGTAATTCTAAGGACCGCAGTGTTTTCACGCTGCACTAATAATGCAACGCTTGCATGAAAAGGCAAGTGTTCTTACACTTTGCTAAGATGACACGGTGGCGGCACCTACCCGTCGCCTTGCGTTCTACACCTTATCACCTCTAAGACGGGTGCGCATGTCGCGCGCTTTGTTTTCAAATATAACTGCCAGGTAGCATTCATGTCTCACCTGTGACGTGACTCGATGCGCTCGTTTGCCTCCGCTGCACGCTCGAACCACTCTGACGCAGCGCCTCCAGAATACCATTCACAGATTTTCTTGCGCAGAACTTCAAATAAACGTTTTGTTAACTCTCTCCAGATGCAAGACTATCGTCTTGCGACGACATTTGCAGTGTAACATGCAGATACAGGGCCAATTTTTTTTTTCTTGATGGCAGACTCAAGGGCTTTGAACATTGCCAACTTCTGCTTGATTGTTATATTTTTGCGCTTCCATTTGCTGCTGCCGTTGTTCATGAGCTCTACAGAGAATGACAAAGAAGAAAGCCACTATCTCTGCCGCCCCGGCGGCACGCGAGGCCCCATTACTAAGCAGAAGGGGAGAAGGAGGTCAGATGAGCGGGCAGGTAAATGAGTTCTACAATAGAGGGGAGGCCGGCTGACGTGCACGCTCGCGCGAGTTGCTGCGCGGGGAGACTCGCTCCCACAGGTGTGTTGGCAAGCGGCTTTCAGGAAGCGCAAGGCGCAAGTTTTGAATTACCGCGGCCGTGATGAGATGTAAACTGCCGCGCTATAAGGTATCGAGAATCGACATATACCAAAATGATTTGTGGATATACCAATGCTCATTGTGGACGAGGACTGGTTCATTATATCTATTGTGGGGAAATCTTTGCTTTATTAAAATGCGGTTTTAAGTACATGGGTTTCTATAGAATTTTCAAGATGAATTAAAATTGCTTCGTTATATCCATTAGTTCGTTGTATCGTGCTTCGTTTTAACAAGGTTTTACAGTATGTATCATTCGGTGATATGCACGACTCAATCTGTGTCCAGTAAAAAATGTGAAAGTTAAAAAATTACACAGAACAAAAGGAACAACTAGACAATCCTTAACAGAAACTGGTGAGACAGCTGCCAAGCAACAACACGAAGGAAGCAGTGCATTTGTGAAGAGGGAATGTTCACTTGAACAAAAAAAAGACAAACTGGCACTGCCGAAGTGCCTGTGTATGCCCTTTTATGTGGGGGAATGAATGTCTTTTCATATGCATTCCTTTCTCCACCTCAGAGATAATCTTAGCCAGTGATGCTACCGAGGTCTTCCGATATGGAGCAATTTTCGGAGCAGAAAAACTTTTATTTTTAGAGCACTTTAGAGCAGGAAAATATTCCATTATGGAGTACTTTAGAGCAGGCAATATTGTATCTGGGAGCACTCTGAATCAGCTAACTTCATATCCTGGAGTACACTGGAGAAACAAGTTGCATTTACATTTAGGGACATGAGTAATTATTTGAGGGCTCTTGTGAAGACCTAGAAATATTTCGATTGATTGCAAATCTCAAGAAACCAATCATCTTAGAAGCATTTCCTATTTCACTAGATGATGCAAAAATAATGACGTCATATTGTTGAGCATTCTGGAACAACTTGTTCAGTGATTATTTTCATAGCAAATCAGAATACTAGTTTAATAAAATTGTACTTTATGAAATAACACTTTTTGTAGCAAATCAAAATATTGGTTAAAAAAAAAATTATACTTTATGAAATAACATTCTAAGTACACCTATGTGGTTATCAGCATACATGGTAGCAAACGCTGTGACGTACAACGCTAGAGATTCACGCCATCTCAACTGCATTTCCCTAAGACGACTCCAAGGAGAAAGAGAGGTTGTTTCTCACTATCTATTTAATTCCTGGGCATAACATGATTTCACTTAGCTAGTCTCATAAAGCCAACCTCCTCCGACACTTTCATCTTGCTGCGGCTTTTCCGTGCTGGGACTACATCATTTAGCAAACTTCGTTTTCCTATTACAGCGAATTTTTGCATGGCTAAGGCGTTCTGTCTGCACACCAAAAACCCCGAAGTGTCCTCTAGAAAGCAGCACGAAAAATAGAAACAAATATCGCAGGGTACCTTATGCATGCCTCTAAATAGTCTCAAAGGTGAAGGCCATTTTGTTTTTATTGCGATAGCAGTTATATGGACATTCTCGACTGGTTTTTGCCGTCACTTTCATGTTTTGTGTAACGTCCAAATCGATAACATCCCTCGCGCCTTGTGTTTTACCCACAGATAAAAGCACGCGAGCAAGGGCAATGATTGGGGCTAAAGCAGAGATAAAAATGAGCCGACCTATCTCCATTGCACAGAGGGCGCATGCGATAACATCACTCCGCGTGCAGGCCTACCACCGATTGTTACTCAAGCAAAAAGGAACGTGCCACCTGTCTTCAAGGAGCATGAAGAAAGGTAGGGGTAGGGCTGTGGCCGTTAAGCAGCAACTGTGAACTTTACCTTGTGGGTTCGCTGGCGCGCACATGCTGTTTTGGCAGGCATTACAGACTGCTTGTGTACCCTTCTACAAGTTCTATGCTCAACACAAACAGACTGTGCAAAGAGTGATTCCCTTCCTACAATGGCCATATAAAGGGTATGCAGTAAGCCTAGATTGTAAGGTGGCCACACCTTCATCGCGCCATTTTGGAGGTCAATTTGTATGCACCGTTCATGCTTACGTATTACATAAGCATGCAGGAGCTGTTCCGGGGGTCTCTAGTTAGCCAAGTCACCTTAAGAATATTCAACACAGCGCAAGCAGCAAGTTTTCTGCACATGCGCCGAGTGCACGCTAGTGCTCCTCGCAGGTGATGTCAAGCCTCACTTGGTATTACAATACAATTTGTTTGTATCACATTCATTGCTAAAAGCTTAAGTGAAACTAACAAACTGTATTGTTTGGACTCGATTTCGCGTAACTCAACAGGACATCGGTGAAAGGGACTATGGCCATTCCAGGTGCCAAAGCGGTTTTCGTGCGGTCAGTTATATAAACGCGAAGCAGACATTAATAGCACAGAATTTTCACGAGCCGTCTCATGATGCCTCGAGATAGCACATGTCAGTGCCTGCGCCCCTCGAGCGACACAGCCTCCTACCCCCTCCAAAACGAAGAAACGGATGTGACACGATGATGTTGCGCAAACGTGCAACATGGCGTATCCACTTCACAGTGCCTTCCGACACTAGGGCCGTCAGTGATAGGTCCACTACTACAAGCTGCGCATATTAAAAGCGAATTCTGGCTGCTCTGACCAGGAGGCATGCTCCTATTATTGACATGACACTTTTTTTTTAAAGCACGCGAAAACTGAGTTCAGACCCTAATACTCACAAGTGCAAAAAGGCAGGGTTTTTTAGGAGCATTTACCACAACAGCGATAAGAAAGGTGGATGTGTTGGTGGACGGAATAACAAAAGAGCTCTTCTGAATGAAGATCCATGGATCTTAAGCAAACACATGTGTTCTTCTGTAGACGCGAAGAGTAAAAAATTAGATTGCGATGTCCAGAAATTAACGCAACAGACATTCTGTCGTCACGCGTGCTGTCATTAGTGAAACTGCTTTAATTATGTGCAATGCAGCTCTTCAAACAAGCTATCAGCAGCGCTCCTGAAACGAACAATGTCCGCCGATGAATCGCCGCTACAGTAACGCGCTAGCGATTGAACTTGACATCATGAGCCTTAGCTGTGGAGAGTGCATTTTGCCGCTGAGCCGACCTGCACAACAGAAGTTGCTTCAACACCAAGCACAGCATCGTGGATTACTTGGGACGCAGCACAATCGCTATGCGTTCCAAGTAATACACGATGCTATGCTCGGTGAATAGTTCTCGGTATGTGGTTGTGAGTTTGATGGCCCCGAAAAGCAAGCTTCACATGTTTTGTCGCGCCGGCGTGGCTATTGCTGGCGATAGACGCTCCCAAATCCGACTTTGGTGCAGTTTGGTGCAATTTTCGTAGATATTATCAGGGTGGCGCAGTAAATATAATTTGGCGCACCTTGGCGCACTTGGCGCAGTAGTGGAATCACTGCTATAACACAATTAGGAATTGTCAAGTATCATGAAACCTAAGTTTTTAATTGGACACACACTCATGCAAGAACATACTTTTAATAATATTAATTGATGGGGTTTAACGTCCCAAAACCACCATATGATTATGAGACGCCGTAGTGGAGTGCTCAGGAAATTTCAACCACCTGGGGTTCTTTAACGTGCACCTAAATCTAAGCATATGGGCCTCAAGCATTTCCGCCTCAATCGAAAGTGCGACCGCCGCGGCTGGGATTCAATCTCACAGCCTGAATAACATACTTTTAATACATGTACACTAGAAATAAGCATTCCCATAACAGTATAACACTGCCCACAGCGAGTTGAAGACACCACCACACCGACTAATTCTAAATAATATGTGGGGTTTTACATCCCAAGACCAAGACATGATTATGAGAGACGCCGTAGTGGATGGCTCCAAAAATTTTGACCATCTGGTGTTCTTCAACGTGCACTGACACCAACTAATTTTCTGCACCTGTTGCCAGCAGCTCTGCACTGTTGTAATAGCTAATCCCAGCTTAATGAATGTAAAACTACTGCAATTAGGGTCGAAAGAACAGCCACCAACAATGCATAGTTTTGCCATTGTTTCATTATTCAAGTTATTTTCCATAGGCATGCAAAAAAATCTATATATGTATATAAAAAAAAAACAATATTAATTGACTGCAGAGTATGGCTGCTAAGTATGGAACAAAATGGCATGATGAGTAGCTTTGAAGTGTACTACCAGCAACTAGGCACTAGATGCAACTTCATCTACCATGAGTTATAGAGTCAATAGTGATGACTGGTTGCCATAAGCAACAATCCAAATACATGTAGTCAAGCCCCGATATGGCAACAATCCAAATACATGTAGTCAAGCCCCGATATACAAAATTGTTTTCTATACCAAACAACTGCAACCCTCCCTTGAAAATCCAATGTAGTGAGGCACTGTCCTACACATATCGACCTCTCTTCTGCCTCTACTATAAATACACTGTATGTTCGCTCCTACATGTGCACTTCCTCCGATTGCATGGTGTCTAGGGCATGGTACCTCAAACTTTGCATATTAGACCTCTGAGTAACTTCCTTTGCACCAGCTAATATCATGCAGAAAGGCAAGTGATATAAAAGAAAATGCCCATATGTTTCACAGGCACAAAAACACAGCACTTGAATGCAACCCAACATTTCCTGGCCTCACATATAAATGTTCATATAAGGGTGCCAAAATTGACACTTCAACAGTTTTTCTTTAATCTTTTGAAAATGAGGGGGGATAAAATATATGCGTAGTAATGCATTTACGTGATACAGCTCCTTTTTAGAGGCTATACAGAAGAAAATATCCCATATGCAAGGCAATATCCATTTAGCATTCAAATGAATAATTATTGCAGAAGTGTGGGGCGCAGCTAACAAACATGTCCCAAGTAGCTCTCCAGCTGAAGCATTACCGACCCCTTTTTGTGCTTTCACTTTATTGCAAAAATAAAAGCAACTGCAAGTTATGAATGCGAATCATACCTTGCAAAGAGAAATGTCAGCCACCACAGTGTACTCAGAAAAGGTACTGGTGCCCATAAAGTGATAGATACTCTTCCCTTTGCATGTAAAGCGTGTTGTACCATCAGGCATGAGACCACGGCCCTGAGTTGTCCTTGAGAAATTGAAAAACAAAACTACTATAAGCAAGTGAAAACTTCAAGGAAATAGACCTTTAAGTTAATTTTTTTTCCACCTTCTATTTTTTAAAGGGCTATGCATTAATGCACACTGATATCGATGACAATCAAGTTAACAGGAAGCATGCATTGCTAGTAATATTTCATGCAGCTTCTCCCTCATAATATGACAGATATGACAAAAGTTTAAATGACCAGAACAATGTTTCATGCACTTAGAAAGGCTGCCACTAAGTTTTACTCAAGAGCTAAGATTATAACAACATCTTTGAAAAGCAGGACGGCAGGTGAAGACAAACACACCTAATTTTTGAACACAAATTTGTCTTGGGGTGCTTGCAGAACTTGCACTCCTTGCATTGGGGAATGTACAGTGGAATAACATGGTCTCCTGGAAGGTGCAAGGCACAATTTTATAGTAAACTCAGTAAATAATTGAACAAAATAAAAAAAAGTAATGTGCATTCTTTACTTACACCAGCGAACCTGTTAGGTGTAAAATGTAAACTGTGTTAGTAATTATGAGAGTGCATACAAAATGATCAGTAAAATATTGTCAACTTTCTTAAATTTATTTGAAGAGCAAAGCCAGCTCTGTGGATTAGTAAAGGAAGATATATGCCATACAAAAGCAAGGTACCTATATAGGTAGATCCTTGAGAAAAACTGCTGCCAGTAATAAGCGGAGTATTTGCTCATAAACAGTAACATCCCACAGATATCAAATGTAATATTTTATCATAATTTCTCTGTGAACTAATATCTGATCAGTCATATGAATGCCAGCAAAAAAGTCACTTTCTCTCAGAAGTGAGAAGTGTACAAGCAAATCTTTTTCCTCAAGATACTTCCAGGCAACTGCAGTAAACTTGGAACAGATATCAAAACGAATTTCCGTCAAGAAAGTATGCTGCAATCTTATTGTATCGATCATGTGGGCTATTCTGTAATTCAGCAGCTTATGGCAACCCTAATATCTTAAGCCTGCGCATCAAAGCATCGTGTCTCAGACCTCAAAGAGAGGCTTGGGGGGGGGGGGGGGGGGAATTTATAATAGAAGAGAACTAGCTTAGCTGTTTGATACTGGTAATGCTTTAAAGAGTAAATGTAAACAGTTTTGGAACTCGTGAGTGCCAAGGGCCACACTTGCCAACTGCACAACTATGGTACCGTATTTGCTCGCATATTGATCACACTGTTCCATTATTGGCAGAAAAATTAATTTTTTTTCCCTTGAATAATTTTTGCATCATAGTTTATTGTTGTGGTGAGCAGTGTTGACAAAACTTGACTTCTATTTGTCAAGTGAAAATAACACTCTCATTCTTTGGTCATGCTTATTGCAGGTTTGCAGCAGAGCACTGGGCCAGTTATATCCGTCATTGAAAGCTCTCGAGTATGTGTTCAAACACAGCAATTGTACTGATGGGGCACAAATAGGTGCAGAAAGCATTAATTAGTTCATCAACTAAAGTCTAAAATCCAGCCAACTTCTGCACCGTCATACCCAGTGTATGACTTAACAGCACAAGGCTGCGCTTTTGTCACTGAATTGCCGAAGCAAAACAGCAGTGCATGACATTGAATTTTTTCAGTCCAGAGCAATCGCCAGTTTGTCAGATTCTTGTGTTAAAGAGACTGACAACTGGCCAGAACGTGTGATTAGACCCTGGTGAAAATGAAAAGACTGTAGATTATAGGAACCGATTTAAGCATCTTTCTTTTGCAACCTGGATAGAATATATATTTTCAAATCATGTTTAAAAATCACAAAGAAATTATATAATGCAGCCTAGCAGAGGAGGCTGGTTTATGAAGTCATTTACTTTCCAGTACATAGTCTGATGCTTTCATGCACACTACTATGAGGGCTACTATGCAGATTATTATCAATTTCACTCTATTGTAGGTGCTTATGAGATAAATTAAGTTCATGCTGAGAAGTGACACTGCACCTGTGGCAACATGTTGAGTCATGGCACACGTGCATTAACTCTTTCATTACCACGGCCATTCAAATCAATCACCGGTGATCGACGCTTTTCGGTCATCGATCTTGGCATGTTAAATTTTTTTTCTCATGCACCCAGAGAACTTTGTAGTAGTTAGTTACTTCAGCCACTCAACTTTCAGAATTTTTTTTAATTTGTTGACTCTGGGAAAATAGCGATTTTTTATAGACTTTTGCGCGAAAGAATGTGTGTGTGTAGTTCGAAAAATGCACTAGGTTGGCGAACTTGACAGAAGTGCGTAACCCTAGCGATTATGCTACAGTAACATCGAAGATCTGGAATGACAAAAAAAAACCTTGCAAGCCAAATTTCTAATTGATGTGTTTGCTTCATAATTTGACCGAGTTGAGCAGTAACAATTGTCAGAAATTTATGCCAGCTAATCAGTAGAGAGCTGTTGCTAGAAGTCAGGAAAAATTAATTCTATAAAAAAATATTTCCCAAGGTCCGCCGAATGTATAAAGTGTGCAAGTGTACAGCCAAATTCCAGCTGCTTTGGTTTTGCTTGTATCGTTATATCAGACACAGGGTCCCATCTAGTGTCACTAGTCGCTCCTATTACGTGGTCGTCACGCCCATCTAGTGTCATTAGTCGCTCCTATTACGCGGTTGTCACGCGCGCATGGGTGCGCGTTAGCGCTGCAAAACACATGCGCTGCTTGAAACTGTCTTGCGACCCCACCTTGACTGAGTGAGAACCAGCTGAGATTTTGTAGATGACAGCACCTGAGCTTAAAGTTTTATGGGCACGATCTTTTGCGTCAGCCTGAGACATCCATAGCCGCTCATGGGTTTGTTTGGTTACATCCTCAAGTTATTTCCTCCGCCGCAAGAGGATATAGCTTCTGACCTTTGTGCATAGTATTATAGTTACTCAGGTTACGTGTGTGGTCCACACTTCGCTAGGGCATGGTGTGGTGGAACTAGCTGCAGAGATTCTCATAACGGCCTGAAGGCCCCTGGAGCATATGTTAGCCCTGACTACGGAGCAGTGCGAAACATTTTAGAACTGTGCGAGATATTGTCCTTTCTTATATTATGATATGCGCAAAGATGCAAAGGAATATATGCTTGGATGCATATATCGGAACGCCAACCTATGCGGAGTGAGGTGGCTCATGGAAAGAGGTGATGCTAGATCAAACATGCTCATTAGACATCTCATTTATACAGAGATTATTCACATCATGGCTATCCATCTATATTGAAATACCTAGAGACTCTTATCACAAGGCAATGAAAATTTACTGAGAAGAACGTATTAGTGCACTTGTGTCTCACGAAAAACTATGTTTTGCTTCACCACATGGCATGAGCAATGAAGCAGCACCTTGGTTCTGATTTTCTTTGTCTATGTGAAGGGAAACATTTTCTACATCATTAATTATTTTTATACTGTTCCCGGGTCATTTATTTACAAAACTTATACAGTCAAATCTCATTAATTCAAACACGCTTAATTCAAACTTCCGGTTAATTCGAACTCACGATGAGGTCCCATCAAAACTATGTGTATTCCAATGGGCGAAAACGCTCGGTAATTCGAACACACAAGCACTTGTGACGGTTAATTCGAACATACCGCGCTCCGAAAATGCTCTCAGCACCCCGCCCAATCCCGCGGCAGCACCTGCGACACCTTGATGCTGCGCGCGAAAGAAATGAAAAGAAAAGGCTGGGGTGGAATGTTTGCTCTCTCTCAAATGCCGATCTGCCACGCGCCCGTGTCACGCTTCTCCCTTTTCCGTCCCTGCCACTTAAAGACCCTTCTCCTTCCAACACTGCGTGCGAAGAGAGAGAGAGAAAAAAAAAACTGTCGGTGGGTTGAATGAATGTGTGGTTGATGGAAAGGAAAAAGGCACTATCTTCTGCAGCCCTTGCCCCTCGCGGGAGCACGGTTTTGTGTCTTGAGGGGGGGGGTCTCTCACGTGCCGGTGCCACGCTTCTCCCTTTCCCGTCTCTGCCACGTCACCCCTCTCCTTTCAACGACGCGTGCGAAGAGAGCAAAAAAAAAAAAAAAAAAAAGCTACCGTGGAGTGTTGGTTTCCTCTCAAATGCCAATCTGCTTCTCTCCGTGTGGAGACGCTCCTCCTTTCGCCTCACGTGCGGCTGCATAAGGCTGCGTAAGGCTGCGTAGCGGAGAGGCTCCAACTGCTACGCAGTCATTGTCGTCATCTTTAGAGTCGGCACTGGTCATTTCCGCGCGCAACTTCTCTTGCCAGGAGAATGCTGAAGCCGAAGTAGACATGCTTTGCAAGCTGCGTGCGAAATTGATTGACTCTTTGCAAGGCAAACGTGTGCAGACGCGCATCACCGATTACTTGAATTAATAACGAATGTCCTATGATTTGTGAATAAATGCAAGTCTTCTGAAACTTCCCCCTCGTGTGTTAGCTCAATGCACATTCGCCACTGCATAAAAAGCCCTCCGTTTATTTAGCTTTCATTATTTCGAACTTCTTTTCGGGCCCCTTTGAGTTTGAATTATCGAGATTTGACTGTATCCTGAATCTCCTTTGTCTTGAATATTTTTGCATATATAGTGTTTTTTATTCTACTGTTTACCAGCTGGCGACGAAAAATTTCACACTTTTCACATTTTTATTCATTCTAAAATATTTTTGTTGCTCTTCAACCTATATTTTTTTTGGAAAGAGCATTTCATTCTGCAAAGTTTGGTATGCTGCGATGCGTGCTGGAGTACTTTTCAAACTGGCAAAACAATCTTTTCGAGACATACGAAAAACAACCGTTCTCGCGCGGTAACGAGAGAGTCAAGTGCATGCATGCGCGGCAAACTGCAACCACAAACATGAACCAATGCTGTACTCATTACCCGCTGTTTATAGCAGGTGCATTGTAACACTTGGCCACAGATCGTTAAACTAATTAAAAATATTTCACACAATTTCTGGCATCATTGTTTCGTGATTCGACATTCTGACTAGCAACCTTCAGTTGCATCAAAGAGACAGGTACTATAAAAAATGGTTATTGAACCCTTTAAGCACCTAATGATCAAATAACGAGGGTTGTTGTCCGTTTCCCAAAGCAATTCCGCTTAAAAGCTTTTTAAACTGAGTAATAATTTGTCGCTGTTTATGAAACAAAACTACAGCAGATTAGCAAAGTTGTCCCACAAGCAAGCACGCTGCTGGCAACGCCTGTGTGCAAGTTGCCATAGCCATTGCCAATTGTAGGTCTACATACCAAATGAGTTTTGTCAGAACCATATTGAGTACTTTTTTTTTTTTCAACTGTCTTTATGTGCAGCCATCATATGCAAGGAGAGTGGGAACTTAAAAATGAAAGTGAACTTTCAAAGCTAACACAATCATGCTTGGCATTGGACTATAGCTGCTAGCATACAGCACACTCATATTGCAGGCATGTAGGAATTGAAATTGGTGAATGGTTGCATCACAGGACACGATGCTGCAAGGAGGGGACAAGGTAGAAAAGACAGCATGTGACATGCTGCCCATGTGTTAACAGTGTTTAACATACTGCTGTGTTAAAGTGAGGCACATCTCAACAACCATGCATTGCACCAGTCTGCAAGGCATACTGTGGACTAGTTTTTAGATTGGCCACAATCTGTGTTAAAGTGGGGCACATCTCAACAACCATGCATTGCACCAGTCTGCAAGGCATACTGTGGACTAGTTTTTAGATTGGCAACAATCAGGCTAAGGCACTAATCAGCATTACTGCGCAGGATTGTCTTGAAGCTACGAAGGGCTATCATTCAACAGGGTTTGCAGTGTAACTAAGACCAGTATAGCCAACCTATTATTTCGATGGGTTTGTGGCAAAATCTAGATTTTGTATTGCCATGCAGAGCCCAAGATTGAACTGACTGGGCTTTTTCAGGCGTCACTTTGAATTACCCAATCAAATTCACATCAGGAAATGTGGAATCTCAGAATTTTTTTTAATATGTAAGAAAATGAATTAATCAAGTTATAATTATAGCGATCTTATGGTAATTGATCAAACAATGTAGAACAATGACTTGATAAGTCACTAACTATTGTTGCCCAGTGCAAGGCTCTCCTCATGTTTGTTAGAACTGAATGCTAAATCTAAAAAGTAACAATCACTCTCAAAAAGTGCCATGTCATTTACATGCTTTACATGCATTTGCTCATTAGCACTGCATTAAATTCTGTACTCTGTCTGTTCACACTTGCATATTCCTGTTATATGACAAGAGTCAATGACACTGAAATGAGGTAACTCTGTGCCTTTAGAAAAAGGAATGTCTAGCATGAAACAGCATCTAGAATGTCAAATGTTAAAAGTACGTTGCTACACACGGAGTTAGATGAACAGAGCAACCTATGATTGTACTTGAAACACATAAGATACACACAAAAAAAAAAGGACCAGACAGGACAATCGCTCACTTCAAACTCGTTCTTAAACGGGAACGGTTCTCCAAACTGGTTGGAAAACAAACTTTCTCAAGTATTCAAAATCGAAGTGTAATATAACAGGCCCAGAATGCTTTAAAGTGATTTGATAACTTACCTGGCTTGAAGCCCTTGACATTGGGCCCAACACTCTCAACAATGCCACCACCTTCGTGGCCTAATATGCAAGGAAATGCACCTTCAGGATCCAAGCCTCCAAGAGTGTAAGCATCTGTGTGGCAGACACCGCTGTGCAGAACCTGGACAAACAATACTCAAAAAGCTCATTCACAGAAGAACTATCAGTAGAAGTAAGTCATTGTATTTACAGAGACGCACACAAAAAGAGAGAAAAATAGTGGCTGTCAACTTCTCAGTGGATAACCAACTGTCCAACAGCCATAGACAAAGATGGGAATTAACAAAATGTAGAAAGGCAAAAGTTGCAATGAATGGTTATAAAAGGATAAATACAGATGTTGAAAAAGTACACCAGTGAGCAAAAGAATACGGACCATTGTCGTACATTAACCTTTACTGTCTGTGGCGCCTAGTGGCAAGCCATCTGCTATCACGACCATTTCTCTGTCGAGTTCTGTCCGAGTAATGCTGCCAACAGCTATATCATCAAAGCAATGCACTCGCAATAGACACCTTGCGACTAGACAGTGATTTCGACTTGCACTTGATCCGTATACGTTTTCTCACATGTGTACATCCCTGAGAGATTTGCATTACGTTGGCAACATAATCTCTCACCTTCCTCTGTAGATAAGAAAGCTGGCAAAGAGGCCCTGCAATATGGTAATAAGGGCTGCAGCGCGAGCATGAATGTGCTAGAAGAAACAGACGAAAGTCGAGGCACGGAAGGCAAAGAATTGAATTCAAACCAACTAGCCCAAATTGCCATTCTTCTGCCCTGCAACACCTTTCTGAATCATAGAATGACTTTATTACTATACTCTATTGGCCCACAAGTCTTTCTTTTCAATTTTTTTAAATATGGCAAATGAAACAGGAGTTATAGATAATTATTTCAGGTGTTTTGCACTTGCTCTCTTCTTTTACCCTGGCCAGAGAGCACTGGATGCTAGCCGGTCTCGACTTCCCGTCACTTGGTCCACTTAGTCTCCATTACCTGTCTCTAATTCATCACCTGTTTCAAAACCACTTCGGCTAAAGTTATGGGCGACCTAATGAAGACTTTAAACACAAGCTTAATAAGAAAGAAATGACCATTGAAATTATATGCAATATACACTAAAACAGAAAGTGTGAGGAAGAGACCCACCAGGAATACATGTTGCAATGTGCGCACCTGAGTGCTGTGTGAAAAACAAAGGTGCAAAGTAGCTTTGCTTGGTGTAGATTCCAACAGCATACATTGGATCTGCTACAACTTCTTTAATGTGTTAGGCCACTACTTGTGGTTCAGATGGGCGTGGCAAAAGCATATAGCAACAACTGCGGTAGCCATGATATTTCCACAATTACAGCTTACTGCTACTACACTATAGACAAGATAGATGCAGCAATTTTACCAAACTGTGAGAATACCTGGCCGCTCACTGACTCCACAACGTTCCTGGATGCAGCTATAAAAGTTTTTCGCCAGCGCGGTTAGCCAATTGGCTTTTTCCTGCACGAGCAACACTGCTGATGTAGATAAACTCATGCTGTACATTTTAAAGCACTTTCAACACCCACCCACCCACTCAACCACCCTCCTTTTTTTAAAATTTTATTTGAAAGCATGATTGAATTCCTATATAAATAAATATACAACCCATAATGAAGATATGAATTGGACACTATGTCCTCATATGTGTCACCCCTTGAAAATTTTCTGGATTTACGCCACTGAGTAGCAGACTGGGATGATAGTGTATACAGCTTCCTTTTGGTTTCGCTTAGGCTCACGGGATAGTCCCATAGTTCAACTTTATTCTTTTTAGTTTGCCCACATTCTTTCGGAGCAGGTTTGGAGCACTTACAAACAAATATTGCACTTTGAAGCAGCATTTCTCTTTTGGAGCAGTTTGGAGCAATTGGAGCAGCACTTTTATCACTGGATTAATCATAACATATAAATCATGACATCTATGTCATGAATGTCATAATTTACATGTGATGGTCTTGCTGCTCTTGCGGCGGTTTCGTTCACATGACATATTGCAAAACTGGTATGGTATGACATGACTGCATGGCAAACATAAGTGACAGACCCTAACGTGAAAATCATGACATGCATGTCATGTAAGTTATGACTACACGCCACCCTGAGAGTGCACTCGTGGTCGTTTCGCTAGCTTCACACATACCAAATTTGGTATTATGGGACGTGAACGGAGAGCAAAGGTATATGACTGGTGCAAACATGATAATCATGATATGCGTGTCATGTAAGAACATGACTACATGCCACGCACATGATGTGCTTACGGCCGTTTCGCTAGCTTCACATACACTAAACTTGGTATTACGAGATGCGAACAGACAACGAAGGTAACTGACACGTCCATACATGATAATCATGACATGCGTTTCATGTAAAACATGACTACATGATACGCTCATAGTACGCTCACGACCGTTTCGCTAGCTTCACATACACGAAAATTGGTGTTACACGATGTGAATGAATGACAAAGGTATATGAATGGTGCAAACAAGATAATCATGATACGCGTGTAATGTAAAAACATGACAACACACCAAGCTCATGATGCGCCCACGGTTTTCGTTAGCGTGGCGTATAGAAAATTTGGTATTACGTGACGTGAATGGACAACGAAGGTGAATGACACGTCCAAACATGATAATCATGACATGCGTGTCATGTAAGAGATTACAACATGCTGCGCTCATGATGCGCTCTCGGCTGTTTCGCTAGTGTCACCTATACCAAATTTGGTATTGCGTGACGTGAATGGACGACGAAGGTAAATGACATGTCCAAACATAATAATCATAACATGTGTGTTATGTAAAACATGACTACATGCTACGTTCATAGCGCACTTGTGGCCGTTTTGCTAGTTCCACATATGCTAAATTTGGTATCACGTGATGCGAATAGACGAAAGTAAATGACACGTCCAAACATGATAATTACTTGTGTTTCATGTAAAACATGACTACATGCTACGCTCATAGCGTGCTTGTGGCTGTTTCGTTAGCTTCGGATATCGTAAATTTTGTATCACGTGAGGTGAATAGACAAAGAAGGTAATTGACACATCCAAACATGATAATCATGACATGCGTGTCACACAAAATATGACTACATGCTACGCCCATAGCCTGGTCCCAGCTGTTTTGCTAGCTTCACATATACTTAATTCGGTATTATGTAACATGAAAGGACGACGAACACAAATGCCAGACACAAACATAATAATCATGACATGATGTACAGCACAATTTACGTCCACTTCGTAACGCTGTGCCGTATTTAAAGTGACATATGAGCCTTCCTTATTCATGCTTTGCATATCATCAATTCCCACTGTACGTGGGATCCGCCAATATTTTTTACCTTCACGCCAATATTTTTTATTTAAGTCAAAACAAACTATCCAAGAATATCTGAGAATGCTTTTACCATTATAAAATAAGCTAATACCTGCTGGATTTGCTTGCTGCATAAATAACTTGAGATGACATTGCAAAAGAAAGAGCAAGTGATGTTTGGGTGTATTTCTCATGATATTGTGTACATCATGGTGCATGCAGTGCAACATTTCCTGACTGTTCATAAGATGTTGCAGGGCCTCTTTATGCCTCAGTTAAAACTCTTGTAGAACACTTTGTCACAATTCTGTACAGAAATAGCCATAGTGTTTTATTGCGAGTCCATTTGGCCAACACCTTTAAACTATTCCACGTAAATGAACGTGGTCTTGCTTTTGCTACCCAACTTGGTCTGCTACACCAAGACGCAAGCAGCTTGTCCATCGTAATGCAAGAAAAGGTGACATATCAGCGACAGGCAAAGCTCATTCATGGTCATTTTTTACTAAAAATAAATGGTGGTCATAACATGAAAAGGGTTAAAGGCTCAAAACAGCGCAAAACAAAACAAGAAAGGACATCAGTTCTAGTGTGTTTTCCACCCAGCCTCTGTGTCACCTGCACTAACTTGAACCACTAAAATGAACTTTATTTTGCAATAATAATGATAATCATCATAATAATATGTAGGGTTTAACGTCTCAAAACCACCATACGATTGTGAGAGATGCCGTAGTGGAGGGCTCCGGAAATTTCGACCACCTGGGGTTTCTTAATGTGCACCCAAATCTGAGCACACGAGCCCACAGCATTGTCACCTTCATCAAAAATGCAGTCGCCGCAGCCGAGATTTGATCTCGCGACCTGCGGGTCACCAGCCGAGTGCCTTGGCCGTTAGACCATCGCGGCCGGGCAACTTAATTTTGCAAGCAGCAATGAAGAATAAATGTTGCCATTTGTATATTTAGCATCTTTCCCTTTCCTCTAAACAAAAGATTTCCATGCACTACAAACAACACTATTTCAGCGTGCTATGAAATCTTTTGCCAAGAGCTGTTTCTAAATATCCTGGGTATTTTTCCGTCATTTCTTGCAAAATGTAAGGGCAGTGTTTTTTCTCTCACTAATAACATATGAAATATTTTCTAGAAGCTACTCTCACATTTCCTCAAAACCTCTCATATTTTAAGTACAAAATTTCGTACCTACACCTCTTCAGATATATTCACACTTTATAAAGCTGGGCTTTTCATGTTGCTATGATTTTTGTTGACGTTGATCAAGAATTAGGTGCAATATTTTTGTTCAGTAGTAAGATTTACTTAAAAAATACTCAACTTCTTAGTTGAATTATTTTTTACAATATTTTACCTTGTGGGCTAGGAACAAGACTAACACACATAGAAAATATACATCAAAGACATGCATAAAACCTTGCCACACCTTAGTTTTACAGAAAACTGTATAAAAGTTTACAGTATCCTATAAGCAACACGCCTTTTCTTTAAAAGAATGTGAATGGTGATATAATGCTACACAACACTTCACAAATTTCTCTAAAAATTTACCAGTGTATGAGTAATACATTGAGCATGGTGGCTACTGTAAGGTGCTACTGTTCCCATATGGCTCAACTAGGCTTGTGCGAATAATAAATTTTAGGTTCGAAGCAAATAGCGATTTTGGTCGAATAATTTTGAATCGAATTCGAATAGAATATACGACGTATAAAGAAAAATGGACATATTTATCATGACCTAACTAACCTGCACAATATTTTTTTTTTATACAAGGCCTCTATGCTCTGTTTATTTTTTTCCATTCAAAGGAAGTCGAAACAACTTTGAGAAGTAGCAGTATTTGACTTTCAGTAGGATGCAAGTACAGTGATAACCTGTAAAATACATAACATTGTTCATTACAGCTAGAGCGTATAAACCTGCAAAACAAGCTCTTAAGCTTAAAAAATAATCAATCGATTTGAAGATAATATGTTCATTTAAAGGGACCCTGCAACAGTTCTTCAAGAAATTGATTCACTAAAGAAGCTTATTGTCTTATTAATTAACCGCAGCAAAAACTTTGAGTGTCGGTCCAGTATGAGCGGAGTCACAAAGATTTGCCAAATGCTGCAATTGCATTCTCTCTTCTTGTCCCAATGAAAGCGCTTGAAGCAAAGCCAGGAGAGATGGAATAGGGAAATAAAATACGTCATGTGCGTGTTGTGACCTTGAACACTCTTTATATCTTTCGTTTTCTTTGAATATGCGGCTTTTCAGTGTGATCTCGCATGTACGCGTGGAAATGTCACGTCCACTCGCAGCGGCTTCAGTAACGACCGAGCGCCCCATGCTCAAATCAGCCAATGGCTGGTACAACGACTGTGACGAGCAATTATTAACATTGTGGCATCGTTTGCAGAGAGAAAAGAGCAATTCTTCTCACTTCGAAAATTCATTTTGAATTCCAGGTCGCGTGCTGCGCTATAAATTAGCTCATGTGTTTCCGGTAGCCTCGACTACCGATCAGCAGCGTTTGCTGACCATGCTCATAAAGTGTTGCACGGCCCCTTCAAGTTTGAAGTGGGGTTTCGCAGCAGAGCGAATTTTCCCTGCATAGGTGCTTTTATGGCTTACCACCTCTATACTGCAGTGAAACCACCACACGTGGTTACATGCGGTTTAGTACTATACACCTATTCATTCACGTCGAATACTTTGAAATATTCAATAATTTGAATTAGAACCAAAGTGAATTTGAATACTCTACTATTTGTTCAAATATTCAATCATTCAAATATTCGCACAAGTCTAAGCTCAACCACAATAAGATTACACACCATCCACAATCAGCCACGCATCTCACACAACCTTTAAAAGTTACGTTAAAACGAAAAGCACTGAAGCCTTTAAGCACCCCCAAAAAGCTATTTCTTATCTAACATCGCTGCTATTAATGAAAGAATGTATAGCTGCTGCAAACTAAGAAGCTTATAGAAAAAGCTTATAAGATCATTCAAAAACACACTGGTGTCTTGTTTGGGATATCCTTAGAGTAAAGCTTCATAAGCAAAAATGCAGTTATACATGCACACATAAAAAAAATATACTTAAGGGCCACTAAACAACCCCGAGTTGCAAAAATTTTTATGAAGAAAAATATGCACATTTCGCTATTTGAACATGCTGCTGCAAAATTTCAAGAAAAATGCCTTAATTTTTTACAGGAGATAGAATAGCAGTTTCAGCTGGTTTCGAATTTCTGTGCGGCCTCGCCACGCTTCTCCACTATGGGAGACCAGCGCTGGATATGTGGCGCGCCAAAAAAGATCATCTGGCGGAGAGACGCAACACAACTCAGCTGCTCGCGCCCAGACGACCGGCCGCTGTGCTTTATTGTGGAACAAACAGCTCGAAAAGCCATTGCGCCAATAATACTGCACTGCGGTTTAGAAAAACTACTTTGTCCAAAGGCTACTCTCACATAAAAAGCACTAAAAAAATGGAGAGAAGCCCAGCAAAGTAGACGGAGTCTATGCATTTGGCATTGAAGGGACAGTGCTGTGCTGTGATGGGGACTCCATCGTCCTAACTTTCTGGTTGCATGCTGGGTTTTGTTTTTAACTAGTGCAGGCTGACAAGCCCCCACCGATAAGTCTGTGCTGCGATGATACCACGCAGCACACATCTGTAGTAAAACAATACAAAAACAAAGGAAGTGGTAGCTGCGTCAATTTTTTTTCTTTTTTCTGGCATCGTATGTACGCCCTGACCGTGGTATGTCTGCACGGGACGTTGATCAAGCAAACCACCGTAGGTGCATAGTGCGTGTGGTGTCGCGCTGCCATGCTTGAAGGCATGGGTTAAATTCCCGACCACGGCAGCCGCACTTCGATGGGGGTAGAATACAAAGAACACCTGTGAACCAAGATATTTATACACTCAAGCCTCATTATAACAAAGTTGCATCTTACACGAAAAAATTCATTTTATCCAAAAATTCGTCATAAAGATTTATTCCCAACACTATATTTGTTGAAAGACTATTTTTCATTTACTTTGTTATAACCGATATTTCGTAATATAAGTTTATTATATGGAGGTTTGAGTATATGCACATTAGAGAACTCCAAGAGGCCACAATTAATCCTGATACCCATGCTACGACTGCCTCAAAATGATATCTTCTTTGGCACATGAAATCCTAGTAATTATTGATGTTGAACAGAGACCTTAATTTAAGCCGACACAGGCAAGTGGAAAAACTGAAACTGTGAGTTAGGTGAACTAAATGACAAGTAAAAATCGAAGACATTCGATACTTCTCTAGCAAGGCATACGGTAAATTCTGATGTTGCTTAGCCACAGCAGCCACTGAAAAAGAAGCTTACCACATCGGCTGGCTCCATAAAGCTAAGCTTCGAGTAGTCTGCCACTTTGTTCTTAACAAGAACCCTGTCTTTAGCCAAAACTAAGAACCCTGTCTTTAGCCAAAACTAAGCTAAAAAGAGGCATCTCAGCATCGAGTATTCACCGCAAGAGTATCCTTTATAACAGTTCAGAGGTGTAGGCAAACGTGCGCCGCAAAAATCTTGTGGATAAGGCAGCTTTCCTTTATACATAACCATTTACAAATAATGTAGGCTACCTGCTTTACTTTGTGCGGTGGCACCAGATGGAGTTTGGTGGTGGTGGTCAGATGGATGGATGTATGAGAAACTTTGTTAGTCCTGAGGTGCACGACTCAATGCTCAGTGGGCCAGATAAAAAAAATTACATACGCCGTATGCTAAATTAATACGCTCATTTTATTTCCGGCAAAACATTGTTTATATTCGACTGTTTGGCCCTGGTTTCCACTGGTGGCCATCTTCACTATCAAGTAAATATATCAGACACGCACCATTCGATTTGGAAACCAGCCCGACACAACTAGACAAGAGAGCGAGATCAGAACAACATACTTTGATCGCCTGACCACTTGAATGCAATGCTTCCTCCTTATTTATTGATACGATTAAGAAAGAAAAATGTACAGAAATGCGTCCTCCCTCTTTTTATGTATTGTTTCACTTGAAATCGCAGCAGTACCACCAGCACCCTTTGGTTTTGTCATGGCTATGCACGCCCGCACCACCTCTACCAGCCGCCACTCATCTGCGGGAGCGGCTGAGAAGTGTGCGCTAAGACAGCCGTGAAAACTAACGCTGGTTTCCTATAGAAAAGGAGAAGGTGAATCCCGTCGTCGTGATTCTGCCCACTTTGGCAATGTCACACGATGTCAGTAATTCATCATCAGTGCACAGGCAACGGCTGTGTGGGGCATCCCTGACATGAGCACATGTCACAGCGATGTAAGGAGGAAGTGTGATGTGAGGAGCACCCTTGCTCTAGCGGAAAGTAACAAGAGAGCTCTTTATCTTGGAGGCTTTCATTCTGGCAATAACGTTTCTCCCGGTAGTCCCGAGCTCTACAAAACAGCAGAAGGCAGCACAGGAAAATGAAAATGAAGACTGTGAGGTTGAAACAGGCCAAAAAAGGCATGGGAATGTTTTTTCTAAATGAAAGGTTAGTGTGGTGCACAGCGTTGCTATATTTGGAAAATGTGATCACTATGGTCTACTGTACGAATTGGCAAGCTTGCGTGGTGGTTACAGAAAAAAAAAAGTCAGAGCCTGTTTACTGGCCCTTTAAGCCCCATTAATCCCCACCACACCTGCAATCAGGTATGCATCTGCAATAATAGGCTAGTAAATGGGCCTATTCATTAGGGCAGAAGTGCAGACCTGAATAATAGGCACGCTTACAGACACAAAATGATAAAAAAGCACCTTGATTCGGACTTCTCTCTCCTTTGGCACTGCAACTTCAACCGTCTCGATAGTAAGTGGCTTTGAAGGTTCCCAAGCAACTGCAGCTTTGCACTGGATGGGCTGCAGAAAAAAAGCATTGGCAATGCGATGAAACAAACATAAAATCTAATTTATTCTAAAATTTGCACACAGAAACATCTTGTTCATGGCCAGGTTATATTTTGTGGCAAACCTTTTCATTTTTTAATACTTCTGCCTTTCGCGAACTAGCTAGAACTTAGCTTTGATGCTATCACATCTCAGGCTGCAAGGTCAATTCAGGCAGAATAATCATACAGCAACATCTGAGCCAATTATGAAAAGCTTAAAGAATGGACAATTATCAGCTGACACAATGAGCACATTCAGTATATAATATAGCCCAAGTTTCTTACAATGAGACATCTTGTGGAGTTGTGAAACAAGCCGAAAAGATAGATACACCCATACAATAGATAAACAGTTGAGGCATGCTAAAATGCATGCCAACAAGCATTCTCCTAAGACAAGAAAAGAAACATTGAACAGCCTGAACAGCCTATCTCCCCAAAAGTCTTTTTCAAAACTACAAAAGCAGTAATATATGATTATGCATACTTTTGAGTTCAATAGTGCTAAAGATCAGCAATAAGGATAGGTAGCCAGTTCTGTCTCAATTCCCCTACACATGTAATGAAGCGCAATGAAATACAGACGCTAGAAGCCCGAAGAAAAGTGGACCGCTTTTTATTCCTTTACAACTGCCTTGCAGATAAGATAAATTTAGCTCTCCCAAGATCTGTTAAGCCTCTTAGAATAATGAGAAAAATGCAGCACAGTCACAAATATTCGTTGGCACAAATGTTCGCTCGCACAAAAACATTTCGATACAGTTTCTTCTCTAGCACGGTCGTGAATTGGAATTCTTTGGCAGGTAGCACATTTAGGTTCAATGATTTTGTTAGCGATATGCAATGCCATGTTTTAAAGATCCAGCACTCTCAGTTCTCATTGCTTCTACTTATCTTGTTCTTACCACATGCATGTTTGCTCCTTTTGTTCGATGACCCTAGTATTTTTAAAATAATTTTCATACTAGTTTTATAGTACTCAAACAGTGCTGTTGCACTATTTGAGTATTTATTTTTGCATTGTATGCGAAGCCCACTCTGCTTGATCCAGAATGTTGGCTTGCAGTATTTTGAACAGATGAATAAATAAAAAGATGAGAATTCGAAACTAGTCTGGGATACGACATTTTGGCCATGTGTAAATACACTTGCATATAACCTCTTGCCTGCATCTTACAGCATAATATAATATTCGAAGTCAGAATTCTCCATCCACATCACAGAGCTTAGCAAAAGGCACTACCTTAATGCCCTATTATGGCTCCTGCTGCTGATTAGTGCGAAACAATCAATGTCCTATCAAGCACAATATCTGGCAAGCATATGGTATCAGATAAATGTCACCGTTTGATGGTAACAAAACCCACATAATGATGTCCCGTTTCAATGTAAATAAAATCAAACCTGGCCACTGCCAAAATCGCCTAGGCCCAACTCAAGCACATTACCAAGTGATCGTATAATGCGACATGTTTTTAGGCACTATAAAAACTGAACTAAACATTTTACCATTGTATTAACACTGAATTCACTTTCATATATTGAAAAACTTTATTTTTAAAAATTACCTGCAACACTTTTCCAAGTAACTATCGAATGACCGCACTACCAGAGTTGATTGCCTCGGGAGTCCTTTGTCCCAAAAATGTTTCGTATCTATTAGGTACCAGCGAAGCTGCAGGGATTTGTTGCACACTTCAAGCATGCAACCTTTTATTCTAGCGAGCAGACTGACATCTTCACAGGGAGAGGGGGGATGACAAATGCACTACATCTGTACGTCAGCATGCGTGACGACCTTGAGCACAGTCCTCGTCCCCTTTTGGCTCACAGGTGGCATAATCACAAGTCCACAGGTTTAACTTGAGCACTACAGAGTGCCACATGAGCATGTGGCGACACGCTGTGATGGCCGAGGTAACTATGCACCCATGAATGCGCAATCAGCCAATGACAGTGCTTCTCTGCCTATGACGTCGTCAGGCCAGTCTGTCACTGAGTTCACGATTTCTAGCTGCCTTTGAACCACAACTTTATGCTCCTTGCTGCATATAATCCCACAAAAGTACAGATGGCAAAACTGATTCTGGGCGATTTGTACCCCACAACGGTGTGCCTCAGAATCTTATTGTTGTTTTGTCATGTAAAATTTTATTTACCATTGGGTGTTGACACCTTGCTTTTGTTTCACATGCATTTAGCTCATTTTATACTAGCAAAATCTAATAGGTAGCTTGGATGGTAGTGATATCCTGCTGTGTTGGCACTTGTTGTACAGCTTATTGGCGTACATAAGCAACTTGCTAGAGTTCCATCTGGCTATCAGTAATTCTAAATTTATTTTGTTTGTTACAATGCTTAGATTTTCATTTTTCCTTGATGCACTGATCTAACTGTACATTATGTAAAACACATTAGTTTAATTTATTTGCATCCCCTCTTGTGAGGACCTTTAAGTGAGCCTACAGTACCAACAAAAATAAATAAATACACACAAACCTCATTATAACAAAGTCGTATTTTACAAGAAAACATGTCTGTTATATTTGAAGATTCATTACAAAGGTTATTTCTAACACTGTATACATTACAATACTATTCTGCATTTTCTTTTCATCATAATCATCCGCCTGACTACGTTCCCTGCAGGACAAAGGCCTGTCCCATGTTTCGCCAGATAACTCTATCCTGTGCTTGCTGCTGCCAATTTATACCCGCAAACTTCTTAATCTCATCCGCCCACCTAACCTTCTGTATCCCCCCAACCTGCTTGCTTTCTCTGGGAATCCAGTTATTTACCCTTAATGACCAGCGGTTATTCTGTCTACGCGCTACATACCCGGCCCATGTCCATTTCCTCTTCTTGATTTCAACTATGATATCCTTAACCCCCACTTGTTCCCTAATCCACTCAGCTATCTTCTTGTCTCTTAAGGTTACACCTACCATTTTTATTTCCATTGCTCACTGCGTCGTCCTCAATTTAAGCTGAACGCTCTTTGTAAGTCTCCAAGTTTCTGCTCCATAGCTAAGTACCGACAAGATACAGCTGTTATATACCTTCCTCTTGAGGGATAGTGTCAATCTACCTGTCTTAATTTGAGAGTGCTTGCTAAATGTGCTCCACCCCATTCTTATTCTTCTAGTTACTCCAATCTCGTGGTTCGGCTCCACAGTTATTACCTGCCCTAAGTAGACATAGTCTTTTACAACTTCAAGTGGACTATTACCTATCTCAAAGCGCTGCTCTCTTCCAATTGTTGTACATTGCTTTCATTTTCTGCAGATCAATTTTAAGACCCACCTTTATGTTCTCCTTGTCTAACTCCGTAATCATGAGTTGCAATTCGTCCCCTGAGTTACTCAGCAATGCAATGTAATCAGCGAAGCGCAGGTTACTAAGGTACTCTCCTTCAACTCTTATCCCTAACTGTTTCCATTCTAGGCCTCTGAAAACCTCCTGTAAGCATGTGGTAAATAGCATTGGGGAAATTGTATCCCCCTGCCTTACACCCTTCTTGATTGGTATTCTGTTGCTTTCTTTATGAAGCATTATGGTAGCAGTTGATCCCCTGTAGATTTCTTCCAGGATGTTTATATATGCTCCATCGATGCCCTGATTCCACAGTGTCTGCATGACTGCCGATATTTCTACTAAATCAAAGGCCCTCTCGTAATTTATGAAGGCTATATATAGCGGTTGGCTACATTCTGAGCATTTCTCTATTACCTGATTGATAGTATGAATGTGGTTAATTGTTGAGTAGACTGTCCGAAATCCTGCTTGTTCCTTGGTTGATTGAATTCTAATGTTTTCTTAACTCTGTTAGCAATCACCTTTGTAAATAGCTTGTACACTACGAGAGCAAGCTGATCGGCCTGTAATTCTTCAAGTCCTTGTCATCTCATTTCTTATGTATTAAGATGACGTTAGCATTCTTCCAAGACTCTGGTACTCTTCCCGTTAGGAGACACCTCGTAAACAGGACGACTAGTTTATCTAACACAATCTGTCCTCCAACTTTCAGCAAATCTAATGTTACCTGATCCTCAACAGCAGCTTTGCCTCTTTGCATGCTCTCCAAGGCTTTTCTGACTTCTTCGATCATTACTGGTGGGGTGTCATCTGGGTTACTGCTAGTTATTATAGTATTAAGGTCGTGGTTGTCCTGGCTACTGTACAGATCTCTGTAAATCTCCTCCACTATTTTAACTATCCTATCCATATAGGTAGTTATTTTGCCTTCTTTGTCCCTAAGTGCGTACATCTAATTTTTGCCTATCCCAAGTTTCCTCTTCACTGCTTTGACGCTTCCTCCATTTTTCAGAGAGTGTTCAATTCTCTCCATTTTATACCTTCTTACATTGGATACCTCATGCTTAATAATCAACTTCGAAACCTCTGAGAGTTTTATTTTGTCTGTTGTACTTCAAACATTTATGCTTTGGGCTTCTTAATGAGATTCTTCGTTTCCTGGGAAAGCTTGCCAGTGTCCTGTCTAACTACCGTGCCTCCAACTTCCACTGCATACTCCGTAATGATACTCGTCCGATTATCCTTCATTGTATCTACGCCAAGGTTGGTTTCCTCAATAAGAGCCGAGTACCTGTTTTGAAGCGAGTCTCTGAATTCCTGTACTTTCCGTCTCAGTGCTAGCTCATTCATTGGCTTCTTGCGTATCAGTTTCTGTCGTTCCTGCTTCAAGTCTAGGCGAATTCGAGACCGTACCATTCTATGGTCACTGCATCGTACCTTGCCAACCACTTCCACATCCTGCACGATGCCTCGGTGTGCACTCATTATAAAGTCTATTTTGTTCTTATTTTCGCCATTACGGCTCCTCCATGTCCACATACGGTTTCCTCGTTTTCGGTAGAAGGTATTCAAAATCCGTAACTTATTGTGTTCAGCAAATTCTACTAGTAGCTCTCCTCTGGCATTTCTAGTACCGATGCCATAATCTCCTGCTGCTTGGTCTCCAGCCTGCTTTTTTTCTACCTTTGCATTAAAGTCTCCCATCAGTATTGTATACTGCGTTTTTTACCTTACTCATTGCCGATTCCACGTCTTCAAAGAAGCTTTCAACTGAAGCGTCATCATGGCTGGATGTAGGCGCGTAAGCCTGTACCACCTTCATCTTGTATCTCTTATTCAGTTTAATTACGATACCTACCACCCTTTCATTAATGCTATAGTATTCCTCTATGTTGCCAGCTATGTTTCTGTGAATTAGGAACCTCACCCCCAGTTCTCTTCTGTCAGCCAAGCCCAGACACCAAAGGACGTGCCCATTCTGTAGCACCGTATAGGCCTAATCTGTTCTCCTAACCTCACTGAGCCCTATTATATCCCACTTAATACCCTCTAGCTCCTCGAACAGTACAGCTACACTTGCCTCACTAGATAAGGTTCTAGCGTTAAACGTTGCCAAAGTCAGGTTCCAATGGCGGCCTCTCCGGATCCAGAGATTCTTAGCACTCTCTGCTGCGTTGCAGATTCGACCGCCGCCGTGGTCAGTTGCTTCGCAGCTGCTGGGGACCGAGGGCCGTGAGTTGACATATGCATATGGGGGGTAGTGGCCAGATACTGCACCAGGGTGGCCAATCCTTCTCTGGTAAGGGAGTGCGTTACCGGTGGTCACCGGTGAGGCCGCACCCTAGGCCTCTTAATGCAGTTCCATCACCACGTGGATTTTTTTTCTTTTTTTTATCCTGTTGAGAACTGCGCGGCACCGGGATTCGAACCACAGACCTTTTGCATCCGAGGCGGATGCTCTAACCACTACGCCATTGCCGCTTTTCCATAGCGCAGTTCTAAAGAGACAACAAAAAAATGAGAATTTGTGCTTACCTTGGCATTTAGAATATGCTAACATGGTAGTTCTGCATGCTGAACGGGAGTCACATTACAAATATATTGGAAATGTGTGCAAATGGGACAAAGCTCCTTATAACTAATATTTCTGTATATCCATGTTCGTTATATTGAGGTTTGAGTTTAAATAAATAAAATAAATAAAACCCTAGAAATGACTATTTATGTACATGATTACTTGTTGAAATTTCTTTCCTCAGCCATTGCTGAAGCAGTGTCGATCCAATGGTAAGATGGCAGTACTTTCAAGTGATTTATTTCAAGCATGAAACAGTGAGTATATATACATGTGACACACACATGCACAGAATAGCCAACAACAGTGTCTAACACAGCCAGCTCTTAAGCAATCTAATCTCTGAAGACCAAACCTGCATTGACGTGTCACTGGTACACTCTGTTCCCCGCTGTCTGCAGACAGCAAGGAATATTAACCGCTCCACTGGGACATTGCCCTCCCTCTACTGCCAGGGTTTGATTGATTTGTGGGGTTTAACGTCCCAAAACCACCATTTGATTATGAGAGACGTCGTAGTGGAGGGCTCCGGAAATTTTGACCACCTGGGGTTCTTTAACGTGCACCCAAATCTGAGTACACGGGCCTACAACATTTCCGCCTCCATCGGAAATGCAGCCGCCGCAGCCGGGAATTACTGCCAGGGTTTGCCACGGGTAACAGCAAACCTTTCAAGCAAGGCGAGCAAGCATATATAAGCGCCACACATCTGTGGCTTTCTCACCCCTTAGGAAGAAGCCGGTCTGGCTTCGAAACGCTGAGTTTCTGAATACAATTTTTGGTTGAAGTTTTCTAATCGACTCACTTCCATTCGTGCTTGACTCGGGTGTTGCATCACGTTTTAAAGATCACTTACCCCCATATTCAGAAAAAACCATAACTTGAAGCCACAACTTGACTCGATCAAATCAGCTGGCGACTTCCAACTCAACAAGACAGCCAATGCGATTCACATACATTCCAAGTGCCTCATTTCATCAAGTCAGCCCTTGCTCACAATTCGACACAAGTGGGTTTGATATTGTGATGCTAACACAAAAGCAATGTCATTTTTTTTTTCTGAAAAAAGTAAAGCTAGCTATGAAATCTATAAAATGCTGAGTCTATGCCATTTAACACATGTAAGCACAAAATGTAGGGTTATCCAGACCAGCAGAAAAACACTACATCAAAGCCTATCTATAGCAAAGCAGCGAAAAGAAATAAGTAAAAGTATGAGAGTTATACATGAATATCACATTGGCAATGTAGTTTCGAATGCCAAAAATGCCAGCAGCGCTTGTGCCATTTCCTTCTATAGGGACAATATCGTGGAATGTGGCCTCCACAATTAGTTCTGGCAAATCACCATGGCTACGATGCATTGCCGGAGGTAATCATTCAGGCCACGATGTGAGCATCATGTCCCCATACACTTTCATTTCGGTTTCTTTCTTGCCCAACCAAGGCCTCGCCACATTCGGCGTGAAGTCTACATCTCCCAATATGTTCGCAGAGGTTTTGCATGCAAACAAAAACTCACAGCACCTTCATGAGATTACATCGGCAGTGGTAGGCTGCGCCACTCGCACACCATTATGCTTCAAAATTGATGACCAATTAAAAACCGCTCACATTCTGACTTAATCTCAAAGCAGAGATGATGAAGCGAAGCTCACCACAAAGGCACTCTTTCCGTTGAGGGTGATTTCTGAAACTTGTTTGCACTGTCTTAAGGCGGTGGTACATCAAGTTACGGCATGCTTCTGAATACAGGGGTTACACAGTGGCTCCCAGTTGCTCCAACATGTATAAAAATTTCACATCGATACACATGTTATGTTTCATATATATGTCTGTAATTAAGGCTTTGCATATTATTATTATTGATGCCACAGTTGTAATAGAAATTTTAGAACCTGTCACTGTGTTCCTACAGTTAATACTGGTCAAGAAGCTCAAAAGAATAATATTACTATACTTTATTTCATTTTCAATATTGCCCTGTCTGTCTGTGTGAGTTAACCTCACTATATACAACATATAGTGTCAATTATTCAACTGTTAGTCTGCAAGTATACATAAACGTGTTAAATGAAAGTGCCTCAATATGTTTACTGATACTGTTCCTTTTTATATCATAATTTCGTTTTAATTTGCACAGTTCATGTATTATAGCTTTTTCAATTTTTTCCCTATTCCACTGCTTAACATTATTCATGGCTTCATTTTGCTTCATTGTGTACATTTTCCTTACTGTCCTGTGGCAATAAGTTTAATTCATATTTACAAAGAGTGCTACTGTTGCTAGAAATGCTATGTATTAGCATAATCTGCCTTTAACAGGAGGTCTCTATACAGTCTTCGACATTGGGACCTCCTTATGTATACTAAATGTATGTAACTTTCCTGTATTCGCATGAATAAAAAGTTGTCATTGATTGTTAAAGTACCTGGAAATTTACATGCCAAAACCACATTATGCTTATGGGGCATGCTGCAGTAACGGGCCTCGAAAATTTTGACCATTCAGTGTTCTTTACCATGCATTGACATCGCCAGTAGATTGGCCTCTCACATTTCGACTCCATAAAATGCAACCGCCTAGGCTGAGATTAAACCTGCGACCCCGAGGTTAGCATACGGGCACCGTAACCACTGTACCACCGAGGTGGACTCGTGAACTGGTGTTGCATGGTTGTTGAGGTGCAGATGCAATAACTCTAGACGTTTCCCCACTCAATAGTGGTGACATCTGTTTGCTACTTGAAGACGAAAAAAATTAGAGGCGGGCGCCCATCTCCGCCCCCTACCCCGATTTCCAGTCCGAACAATCATGACCGAACTTGGGAAGTGCGCGTCGCGTTTCGCGACTAGTCAAACCACGGCCCAGTTTTGATTTTTCTGCTCGCTAGACTGAGCATCATGGCGCTGCAGTCGCACACTACAAATGTGATGTTTCGCCAATCGAGAAATCATGCGCCCCCGCCAAAGCAGTCGCAGTAATATTAAAATTACATATCTGCGTAGCAGCACGCGCAACGAAGAAAGCGTGCTCCTTTCTTGTAGTAAACTCATTTTACCCAGGACCTTTTTACATAACATGCCAAACTACTAGCTGCATTTCGGAAAACAAGCAATGCAAGAAGGCGACTTGCATGTGACGGTGTGAGCTACACGCAGCCTCACAACATAAACTCGGGAACTTCGTTTTTGATTCATATATTGCTCAGTTCCAGGAAGTTAAATTCCCATTGCCGATTTCCCGACATACCCTATAAAGGCAGGTGGGTCTCGGCGCGCCAAAGTGGCATGCTGAAAACAACGTAATAAAGATAACACAGCCGGCGAGAACTACTTGGACGAGTAACCAACCTTGCCCTGGGTGGAATCGCTTGCTCCTCCTGCCGACATGATGACAGCTCACAACACCTAGTTAACAGAAATACTACTAAGCCACTAACGCCGGTACTACTACTAAATGCTCCTTGACGTCTCGACGCACGCACGTTTCTAACGCACGATACAGCAACAATACCACGGCCTTCTGCACACGACACGCAAGTTTTGCTTCTCAATTAGATACGTATTTTGATCAGCAGGAAAACCAGATAACGAAATGTATTGTGACTTGACCACGCCTTAACTAACTGCAACGTCTCAAATAAACTGCAATGTAATGATTTGGTAATATTTCAAAGAAGTTGTAATAATGACCAGCTCGTAAGAGAGCGGCTGAAATTCAAAATACATACCACGCGCTGTTTACTAGTTTCACTTTCGGTTGGCCATCGAATGATACAAAATTGCACTATTAACTTTATTGAAAAACAATTAATTTCCGTGTAATTAATTTTTTCATACTTTTTGATGTCGCGATGCCTTATTATGTGTATGGTTGCGCATGGGCACGGTGTCTTAATTTCCGCTAATCATGTGAAGGTTTGGATGTATGTATTAGAATTTTAGTACACTGCAATAAAACTAAACCTAGGTGACCCAACTCTCCCTGCAATGTCCTCAAGCTCCGTCAAAACTTAAACAAAACCATCAAAAGAATCGGCCACTTTAAGACGGTCGGTCTTTATGTAGATTACAGAGAGCTCTATGGTCAGGACCGTCAAGAACATTGAGCTCTGGAATCTATTTCGCCACCAAAATCCGCATACAACAAAAGCTTAACTCTGTGTAAAAAAATAGATCACCAGACTCCAGCCAATAGTGAATCGGAGTTAATTTCAAGTTTTTCACCCATATTTCTGCCTCCTAGCTGCTCACGCGTGACAACACAAATGAAAAGCGAGGATGGCATCGTGTTCTGTGATGGCATCACACGCCGCCCAGTAAGACACTTTTCATGGTTTGCTTGGTTTTTGTCCCCATTTTAACACTGGAATACACTCGCATCTCCGACGGCTAGGTATATAGTTTCAAACTATAGAGTTAATACAGACTCTACAGAGTCAGTATCACATCCGTATCAATATACAGACTATCATAGGATTTCATACATATTCGAAACTCTATGTGATAAGTAGTTAAGGAAGCGCGCTTTTTTTAGACGAACATTTAGCAATAAAACCGGTGCGTATGATGATATTTTGACATCTTGTAACTTCGTTTTAAACACATTTTTGGTGTTCTAAACAATACGTTTGTTGAATATTGTACAATTATTTTTTTAACTAACCCCCTAAATCTTGGAAACCACAATAGTATATTAACTCTATGGCAACCACCAACGCCTTCGGCCAACGTTGCTTCGGCATCATCGCATTGCCATCGCCATCCTGTAGAAAGATGGTGGAGGTTCCGTCGGCTTGTGTTGTTTGTGCGAAAGAAATTAGTTGCTGAAAAATCATGAATGGTGATCACGCAGGCTACGTTAGCTTGATGACAAGCATGGACGTTGATCACACAGGTTACGTTGCCTTGACGCCCCCTGTCATGGAAACTGGGGCAAAATTTGCCTCGTTGGAAGAACTTAGCGCTGCACTCAGGCTGTACGAAGAGACTCACTTCACGCAGTTTTGGAGGAGCTCCTCACGAACCATCGTCGGTAGGCACTCAGTATAGTTACTCCGTTGATAGGCGGTGCATATAACACACCGCTGGCCGCGCTAAGCTTGTATGTCGTTGTCATGTTCCCACCGGTGTGTCCCACGCTCATTGTTTTGATCGAAAAGACGGTAGTCAAAGAACGACGTAAAGTGTGTTACGATAGTTGTCGCTAACCGGTGTTCGTGCACCACTTTTCGAATAGGCAGATAGCATGGCTTATTTGCATATTCGTTCAGTTGTGCAGTCAGAAAGAGAAGATTTTTAATAATCACTGTGTCGCTGTCGTTTGTGTGCATGGTTCAAACTCGTGCGGTGTGTTGCGGTAGCACAGGTGGCTTTCGTTAGTAGCTCGATCGAACTATCTAAACACTCAGCACTCTGCGTAGCAGTAAGCCTTTGAAAGCTCTGACCAATCTTGCAAAGCATAATGGTGTTCAGTTAACGCTATTGCCACTAGCATGGGATTAAATTAGCTAGTGCTGTATGCCCGTGTGCTCAGGTTTGGGAGCACGTTAAAGAACTCCAGGTGGTCGAAATTTTCGGAGCTCTCCACTGCAGAGTCTTTCATAATCATATGGTGATTTTGGGACTTTAAACCTCACATATCTGTCGGTTGGATTATTTAGCTTAATCTCTATGACGATAGTCTTGATAGACATTCCTGTTGAAATCTGGTTTACTAATGCTAACGTGTACAGAGTAAGAAACCTATTTAGGCTTTTTAGCGTGCACTGACGGAAATGGCAATTGTTTTGCTATGATCCACACATTCGTGTTGTACATATGAGTGTCAAAGTGAGTTTATGCACTGCATTCATATGGCCATAGTGCACCACGATAAGGACACAAAAAAGAGACACACAGCGCTCTCTTTTGTGACCTTGTCATGGTGCACTATAGCTATATGAATGATGAAACCTAACCAACTAGCCCGGCAACGTGCCCTAGCCAATTATGCACTGCAATTATTAGTTTACCAGCTGAACTAAGTAGTCAGTGCGTAAATGTTATACTTCGTTTTCAAGTGGCATAACATAAAATTGGTTGAATGAATTTTCAATATTTGCATTGAAGTGGTGCCAAAGACAGAGCAAGAAAAAAAAAAGGTACACATGCGGTATTTTAATTTTTCTATCTGCATTATTTGTGCTGCCCATTCCAAGACATGGTAGGCAATGGCATGAAGTAGAAAGATAGTGCTTGCATTTACACATACACACATATATAAATGAGATTTAACAGATAATAATGCCAAGAAAAGTATAGGGGTAGTTATTAGAACCAATGTAATGTAAATAAGAAGAAAGAAAAGTGGGTGAAAAGATAACTTGCCGTAGGCAGGATCCAAACCTGCGGCCTTCGAATAACGCATTCAATGCTCTACCACTGAGCTACCATGACAGCCATCCCCCCAGCCACTTTATTGGGTATCTATGTCAATCTAAACGTGGGAGTGTCAGTTAGCGCCACTAGTAGCCATGGCGGCGAGTGTGGCACACTCTTTATGAGCCTGTTTGGCGTCACGTAGCACGTGAACTTAGTACTAACTGGCAGCTGATCAATAGTCCCTCGTATACTACCTAAAGGCACCAAGTCTGCCATTAAGAGACCCTCATTAATGAATTAAGAAAAGAAGTGTATACTTAAGGGCTCGTTTTTCCGAACACGGAAAACCGAGCGTTTAAGTACAAACTTCTTTCCTTAATATAGATTCTATTCATGGGAGGGATCGAGGGAGACGCTCGGAGCAGTAGGACGCACTGTACATCGTCTCCCGAGCCTTTCGGCATTTTCGCTGCGACGCGTGCTTACTGACCAATAATTTATGTATGAGTGGGTGCATGAGGTTATTGGGAACGCGCGGATATCACTCTCTGCACTGGATTTATCAAGATTCTCCCAGGAGCATCTGCTGACCCGACCAACGCCGCTCGCCGCCCTGAGCCTAGCTGGCTCAGCGCGCGTCCGGCTCCTTGCCTAAGCCTGGTGCAGCGTCTCACGCTACTCACATCGTCGTGCCCAGCCGCCCACCGGAATGGAGTGCGTCGTAGAAGGTCATACCATCTCTGAAGAGGAGTGGTCCGACGATTCCTGGCAATCGCCCGGCTATCGTGCCCAGGAACGACGCCGACGGGAACTTCAAAACCAAGGCAAGCCCGTTCTTCAACCGTGTACGTCGGAGAATGCCCGCGCCGCTGTGCCGGAACGCCAACCCCAGGTCAAGTCACGTCCGCCTCGGTTACGTCGGCGGGCACCACTCCCCCGATTGCCGCAAGACTCCATTCATATAGTAGGACGTCCAAGAACGCCCATCGACTTGACGAAAGTGCCGCCGTGGCAATTGCACGACGCCCTGCTCAAGGCAGCTTCACTGCCAGATCAGCCACCAGCAAGTCGGGATCGCCTTCGGACGCACCCCACCAATAATACCTTTACCTTGAGCGTGATCGACTCGCAACGCGCCCAAGCCTACCTTCGAGTGAAGTCGATTACCATCGGCGCTGCTACTATCGAGCTCCATGTCTACGCCCCCCCTCCAGACGACGCCATACGAGGCATCATGTTCCATGCATACGATGACTTCTCAGACGAAGAGATTTTGGCAGACCTACAAGCCAGCAACCCCACCATTCCTATCGTGAGTGGAAGACGCTTGGGCCAAACTAGGCACGTCGTGGTTGCACTAATGACGCCAAACCTTCCAAAGTGGATATTCTACCACGGAACCGACATCAGGCTGTACCCGTTCTACAACAGGGTGGAATCGTGTTTTAACTGCCGCAAGGTTGGTCACCGCACGGATGTTTGCCCGATGCCACGTAAGCAGCGGTGCCGCCGTTGCGGAGAGGAACACCCCACACCAGGACAGGGCGAAACACCCGCATGCACGCCACGCTGCATCGTCTGCAATGGTGCACACAACACCGGCAGCTCAAACTGCAAGTATCGCTTTATCAAGAAGGCGCCACCCACCCCGCAATCGAAGCAAGAAGCGCAAGAACCTTCGTCGAACATCCATCGCAACCCATCTCACAGTGGCTCCTCCAGCAGACGCTCACCATCATCTCGAGACCATTCTGCATCTCTCCCACCACTCGGGAACAGCAGCAACCAGCAGCAGCGCCGAGAGAGCAGGTCCCCATCCCACACCCGGCGCTCAGGGTCTCGTTCAGCTAAACGACGTGGCAGCAGGTGTCGATCCCACAGCAGGCGCCCGAGGTCACGCTCAGCCCAACGACGAGACAGCAGGCCCTCATCTCACTCAAGGTCCAAATCAGCCAGGCGCAGCCCATCGGTGTCTCGTTCATCCAGTCGAGGTCCCGGAGAAGCGTCCAAGTCGGTGGCCTGGCAGCGGGGCGCCCCGGCATCACTACTATTTTCCGATTCACAGGTGAGGGAGTTGGCAAAGGAGAATTCTGCCCTTAAGGCTCAAATCTCGGCCCAGCAGTCCCAGATAGCTAAATTGACTAGCTACATCCAGTCTCTAGAAGCCAAAATAGATAGAGCACTCAGTATCGACAAACAAACTACACCCACATCATCCGAAACACAAGACGCACATCCGAACCCCCTGGCACCAAACCCGGCGTTATCGCCAGTTCCTCAACTTCAGAACGCTAATAAACGCAAGGCAGCTACACCCACAGCTTCACTCCACGCAGACGCCGACATCACTACAAAAGTAACGACGGCAGTCACGGCAGCCATCTCAACGCTGAAATCCGATCTGAACGCTGAATTAGAAACGCGCTTTAATGCGATCCACCAAACCATCCGGGAAACAACCACCTCATTCGCCGTGTTAAAGAGCTCGACCGAAGCTGCACTGGCCGACTTCAGTGTGCAGTTGGCCATCCACCGCACACCATCCAATAGCCGGCACACACCGGCCCCTACGCCAATAACATAGTCATGGCGGCTCTCCACACGCTCACCGTCTGGCAGTGGAACTGCAGGAGCTTCCGCAATAAGAAGGGCCATCTGCAGCAACATATCCAGCATATTCAAAACCATGCACCAAATGGGGAATGTTCGCCGGACATCATAGTTTTACAAGAAACGAACACTGCCGCTCAACTGCCCGGATACGCATCATATAATCAGAAAATAGACATATCCGCGAGCGCACAATGCCACACTGCCATCTTAGTACACAAGAATGTCACAGCCATTCAACATGAAATTGAGGGTACGAGTATTCATCACACACTGGTGGAAATTATACCAAAAAGACGAGGAGACAAGCCACTCTTCATTTTAAATATATACAGCCCTCCAAGAGATACAGCTGCGGATCTACCTTACATCTTTCGGAAAGCAACAAATCTGGCGAAGGATGCAAAGCTGCTCGTACTAGGCGATTTTAACGCAAAACATCCCGAATGGGGATACCCGAAATCCAACCCCAAGGGTCGCCGATTATGGAGCATCATACACGACCTAGGTTTCAGTATCCTCAATGATCCGGAGCAATCGACGCGAATCGGGAACAGCGTATGTCGAGATACTACCCCAGACCTCTCCCTTTGCAAAAACACGGAGGGTGCCCGTTGGCAAAACACAGGTCACACCGTAGGAAGTGACCATTTCATTCTAGCGGTAACCATTGAGTTAACCACAAGCAATGTAAAAAAACGAGCCACAGCTCGCATTACAGACTGGGATAAATTCCGCCAACTGCGCAAAGAAACGGCACCCGATTCGGTATTGGACTTGAACGAATGGATACTTTCTTTGAGTCGAGATGTGGACGCTACAACATACCAAGCAGACGTAACTCCGGAACAGCCATCAACAGATTCACGCCTTCTACATATGTGGGAGGCGCATGAAAGCCTCATGCGTAGGTGGCGGCGCCAACGTCACAACACAAGGCTCCGCCGCCGCATCTCGAGGCTCGAACGTGAATTAGAAGCCCACACCGCTGTGCTAACACGCCAACAGTGGGGCCAACTTTGCGGCAGCCTCAATGGCCAGATGGGCTGCAAGAAAACGTGG